TCTGTGTTTCTTCACTGGGGAGCTCAAAACAGCTTGTGAAGAGTTTGAGGCTGTCCCTCAGGCCTCAAACCGTTTGTTTCGGAGCAAACATCCCAAGAGAGCATCACTTCATGTTCCCCAGGCACAAAGAGCAGGTGAGGTTTATTGTGTGGGACATGCCAGCTGAACTTGGGACATCTGAAATAAAACCAAGGAAAAACCTTGCTACTGGCATCTGAACCACTTCACTGACCTTTCACCAATTCCTGATGTGGCTCAGCATTGCCTGTTTCGGCCCACAGAACTTGTCTCTACTTCATCACGATTCCATCCACCATGACACAGGGCTTGCAGGGATGCTCAAATACAAAGATGGTACAAGCTTTTGACTAGTTCATTTATCACACAATTCCATTTTACAGCCCATGGTTTTTAAACAAACCACAAAAATTCCATAATCAGATTGCACCCAACCAGAAGTGACAATGGATAGATAACTACCACTTGAAAGCAAAGTACATATATCCATTGGATAAGTACTATTTTAGTGCATTTATTTCTCTGATGTCTGAGTTTTAAAAAATAGTTAGTAGGACTTTTATTTAAAGACACATTATTTTGCTCTCAAAATTTTTATTTAACAATTTTAGGTGTTTGGAATGCCAGTACCACCCAAAGAGGACACAGTGAGGGGATAATTGACCTTGTTAGCTAAAAGCAGTCTTCCTTGGAACACTTAACTCATAGGTGCAGTCAATTACCTTCAGGTAATGCTTGCTTCAAGGGTTTTATTGCTGTCCCTTTGAAATGAACTAGATTTACTACCCAAGTTAGATCTATTTTACCTGAAGTTCCAAAAGCATTTTAGTATAATTTTAGCAAGATTAAAATTCTATCTAATTCTAGTACTAGGCTTTAAAAACAAATCCACTGGCATCTGTGTTTCAGAGCAATCAAATATTTATGAATCTTGCAAGTACTTTTGTCCATAACCCTGAATTCATTGCTATGTATATTATATGATCAATAGCTAATTTTCACTTCCTGCATTGTAAATGTACTGAACAAATTGTCTTTATACTTCATAATTGGTGGGGAGAGTCTTTGGTTTAAATCTGAATTTCTGGCCGAGTAAAAACAGGGCACAGAAATGTGCTGTGGTTTATAACACTGTCACCAATATGGTCTCTGCCCAGGAATCTTCAGTGCTGAGAAATCCTAGCTGACACTTCATCGATAGAACTAGAATAGAATATTTGGAATATAAAGCCCATGGCTCACACATGGTGCCTCTGTCTAGTACTTGTTTGACACAATTTAAAACCTCAAAACTCTTTTTTTTTGCAAAAGAAACGCAGAACAAGGCAAACAGATACACATGGTTTGACTTCAGAAAGAAGTGTTTTTTCTCCATCTTTTCAACTCATATGTAGTTAACCCTTTTTACTTTCTCTTTCCTTAACAATTTTTTCATTTTCTTTTTTCTTTTTATTTGGCAAAAAATGGTAAATCTGTACATAGTCTAGAAGAAAGTCTTGACTTGCACAGAAGAGATAATCAAACCAGCAACTGAATTAAAAAGGTACTGAACTTAATTGTCTATTACCAAGATATAAACAATTTGTGTTAATGTGGGATCCCATTTTCACTGCAGCTAAAATACAGAAGCAAAAGCATAAAGAGATTCAGAGGAAGCAAAAGAAACTTTCCACACTTGCAGAGAATCAGTGTACAGAACTGCAAGTAGTCCAATATTTTTTCATTAACTCCTAATTAGATAGTTCTATAAAGAAGAATGAGTACTCTTGGATTATGCATCCTACTGCAAGTCCCCAGACACCTCCTGTATTGTTTATTTTCACAGAAGCAATACGATTTAATTCTACAGTAATTACTTACCAATTTTCCTCCAGAACAGAAGTACATTACATTTCCTACTAAATTGAAAATGGAATCTATCAAGTAGCTGCCACCTTGCAACTTACTGATAAAAGAGTGAAGGGAAAATATTTTAAGAGGCTGTATTTATCTTTGAAAGGTGCTAAATCCAAAGCACCTGTTGAATGGGAAAGGCAGTGCTAAGAATTGAGAGCTTAGGCCTTTTTAGGATCAACAGGGATCTTGTTCAATACTCACTGGACACACTACAGTTGTATATGTGCATCAATTTCCATTATGTATAAGAAATGTATATATACATATATATATTTGTATCTTTCAAAACAAATCAAGCCATTCATATTTTCCCACAAGTTTGAACATCAATCTTTCAATTGGTGTCTTCAGATTCTAATTGTAGTGTACTCAACTGAAACCAACACCAAGTATCTAGCAACACTATTTTAAAAAAATGCATTTGAAGTTTTTCCCAACAGTGGAGTATTGGTGGCGGTTGAAGATATTTTGTCAAACTTTCAAGGTTGACCAAAACGTTCTTTTTTCAACATGAGATTAGAATAGCAAAGGTCCAATCTTAAACCAGTGCACCAGTCTACAGAATGGAATAAAACCTCAAAATGAGTATGGGAGAAGCTAATGGAAAAATGATTCAGTGAAAACACTACTTTAAAAGTGGAGTCTTGGAAAATGAGGGACCAGAAACCAGAGTTTTGTTGAGAAGAGAGCTATCACTAATACTATCAGTCTCAGCAGCCCTATTTTTAAACAGGCTTTCTGAATTTTTTTTTAAAGAACTCAGTAGACATTTTCCCAAACAACAGTACCTCTTAATTAATTAAACTCTAAAATGTCAGTGAATCTGAAACTTACATCTGAAAATTCAATTAATACTTTCACTGAGGTTTATCTTTGTACCCTTCATTTCAGCTTCCAATGACTTCATGGTCATTTCAGGATAGGAATGAAGTGTGACCAAATTCATCTCTGCAGGCAGATCCACCTCATTCTTTGTGGACTCAACATGTGCACCGTGTGCACTGCAGAGCACAGAAACCTCTTCATAGGGCTTTGGAGCCTGCTTCTGTAGGCTGAACAAACCACACACAAGGTGTACCCACAGATCCAGGGTGTGGGGCTCTCCAAGTCAGCTTTCTTGGAAAACATACTTAAATCCTGAATGCTGAGCCAGTACAGCTATCTGAGTGGCTTTGGAAACAGAATGGGAGCACAGCTAAGCTAGGTCTTGACTGCTCCCACCTGGCCCACCAGATGTCTAAAGATTTTTCAACTAAGCTCTTTGGTACAACTTGTACATACAAGTTAGCTTTTGCTTCTAGTTGTAAAAGATGAGCTGCCAAAACAGATAGTGAGTTTTAAGAAGTTCTTGTTCTAAGAATACGCTTAGAAAAGACATGAAATTATGGTCTTCTTATACTTCACTCCCTCCTGAGATGGCCCAACACTTTTCACCACTTCTTTTCTTGTTCAGTATGGAGGATGAGCCCTTTGAGACCACACAAGTAATTTCTACCTGTAATGAAGATTGGCCAGCAGTAACTTTCAATGTGGGCATAAAAATGAAGTACTAATTATTAGGCAATACTCTTATCAATAGTTGTAGTTATAATGTAAACTTTTTAAAATACTGCTTAAAGAGAAAAACACAAATATGATACTCATTTCATCACTTTACAAGAAACATGGGCAATGAAAGCCTGTTGGTGGTACTGCTCACTGCAACAGCTGCTATTTTGAGCACTACTTACACTAAAAATAATCTAAATCATGCAACAGAACTACTATTTTACTTGAATTTAGCCTTCATATGCAGTTGTATATAGTAAAGACTACAAATCATCATTACAGCTAAACACACTGCAAGGTGACAGTTCAAATGTTCCAGATCCTTGCACTGCTACTCCTCAGAAATTGCAACAGAGCATGACAGGAGCAACTGTCACCAACCAAATTTAGAAAAAAAAAAAAAAAAAAAAAATCAAGCATGTCATGGGCAACAGACAGGAGTTATTATTAAAATTAAATATGCAAGGAATTGTATTAATTCTTTTTGTTGTCTACATTCTCAGTTGCAGCAACAATAGAAGGCTTGGAATATAATTCTAACCATAAAGAATTAAGACAAAATGCCTTTAAGCTATAGAACAGTTTAAATTTTTTAAAACCTCACCCACCGTAAACTTTCTTCCCACTGAAGATGATTCAAGCTTCCTCTCCCTTATGCTGTCTCCATTTTATCTAAGCATGATCACCACGGTTCAGGTAGTGGTACACAGCCTCTTCACTTTAGAAGTCTTTCAGATAGATGCCGAAGAACACAAGCTAAAGCAGGTAAGGCACTGTTAAACTGATCCTTTCCTGCCATCTAGGGGACACAAACTGGTGTGCAACTGGAAGAATATCTTCAGTCCAGGAAATCTTTCTGTATGAAATGCATATCTGTACCCAGCAAAACAGAAATCAACTGAACTGAAGAGTGGCACATCTAGCAAGAACCAAACCTAGCATAAAGCCACACTCTCCTGCCTGCAGGGCAGGCACACACACTGCATGGACAGTGTGCAGCTTTTCTAGTGCACTATCCCTTAAGAAGCAAAATATAGAATCACTCAATGTTGAAAGAACATCAAGGTAATTTTTCTGGCTAAGTTTTTCTCATTCTCCTCTCCTCACTGTTGCCTTCTGGGCCCCTTGACAAGGCAGACTCTACAAAAGGAAAGAGCAAACTCAGCTAGATGCTAAGCATAGTCAAATGCACACACAAAGATCCATATAAGTTTTTTTCCCAGTCTTTTGTTTGGATTTGTTTTGTTCTGAATGTGAAAGGGAACAGTCCACTAAAACAAACACCCTTCACTAAAACAAAGACCCACACTTCCCATGGCTGAAGCGATGTGATCTTTATGATCAAAGCTGGAGCTTCTCCGAGATGAAAGGAAGCAGGTGTCCAGCAAAGATGTTCTGTGAACTGGCTACAGCTGCACATGATGTAGGCCCCCATTCTGCCCCAGTGAACAGACTGGAGATGAAATGAAAGTGACAAGGCTACACTGCTGCAATACCTCTTCATCACAGAGCACTCACAAACAAAAACCCCATCCAACTTCAAAGAACGACTCAATTTTATTTTGAAGACAAATATTTTGAGCAGCTGTGCCCAAGTCCTCTTCACTTTACTGAGTGCAGTGTTTTTAAAGAGCTGGCAAGAATCCCTGCTTTGGGGATACCAAACCTCTTTGCCACCTAGACAAAAAGTAAAAAAACATAAACAAATAAAAAGCCATGTGCCAATCCATTTACAGCAGTACAATATAAATGTGCATAGGACACCATAATTTCTTGAACTTAAGGTGATTAACACGGCTCTCTGTGAAAAGCGTATGAACACTTAAACACAGAATACTTTCAAAGTGCAAAACTACTGCAAGATATTTACTACATTCAAATTAGCAAACATAATGCAGTATTTGGCAATGCAAAGACATACACAATATTAATTCTAAGGCAACCCTTTAAAAGTATTTTGATCCAATCACTTTTAGTTTAACAGGCCCTGAAGTTATCAAAAATAGGCCCCCCAAAATTCCATACCAAGGAGTTTTCTCCCAAAAATAATAATTGTAAAAAAAAATCACAATAGTGCTGAGAACAAATCAGTACTATCAATGGAAAACTGTTGCAGAAAATGAAGTTCTTAGGTGACAAAAATCATAGCATTTGTTAGTAATGTTTTATCCTGCAAAGATACTCAAAGGTCTTGAGTGCTAAGAAATTAAAAGAAAACATCCATTACTCTTATATTCTAATGGCTACAACCAGACCATTTCCTTCTAATCAAAGTTGTATGTATTACCTCACATAAGACTGGATTTAGTAATCAAACTATAGATTTACAAATGGTTTTAACTAGGAAGCATTAAATATGAAATCATACATTAAAAAAAAAAAAACAACCAAAGGGCTATACATCGAGCTAGTGCTCTTTGTAAGTATTCAGGACTACATTCTGAATGATATAATTTCAGTCTGCAATTTAGATTTATTTTCAGGTTTATTTTTAAGTCACCAAACAAGAAACATCATTCATACTATCATTTTATTTTTTCCTTCATAATTTGCTTCCCTAAGAGCAAAACAATCTTGTTTTCACACATTAAAACAGCTGAACATCACAGCAAGCAGCTTTAATATCAGATTTTAACCTTGCCTTGCATTCATCTTTTTTCTTTATACACTACTTTTCACTGACTTTAATTATTTTCTGAATATTTTGACTTGACACTCAATGTAGTCCTATATGTGACTTTTTCTAACTGGCAATAACACACAACTTCATTCAACCAATCACTGTTGCCAAGTGTATTCAAAGTCTTTCCAACACTTATGACAACATACTTGTTGATACTTTTAAAATTTCATTAAGTTTCATTTAAATAAAATGGAAGCAAATTGAAATTTACAAAGCTTAAAACTTTATTAAAGAAAACCGAGTGTGCTTAAATTTTCAAAACAAGATTAAACAAAAACATTTTGTCATCAAAGGCCTACAGTCAGTCTGCAAAATGGTTCAGGTAACCAAACTCCATGTGGCTTTTAGGCATGCAGAAGTGGAGAACGGCGCTTCTGGAAAACCTGCCAAGAATTTAGGCTGGGTACCTGACTGCTGCTGGGACTTGGCTAGGAACTGGGTGTCAACTATTGGTTTTGATTTGTTGGGTTTTTTTTCAGTCTTCATGTGGCCTTTTTGTGGGGACTGGTGGTTAGGTTTATTTGATGCTTAACGTTCTCAATTAACTCCGTATCTTTAAATTGGCTTTAGATTTCACTTAATTCCCTTCAAATTGAATTAACAGTTACTGGGTCTAGTCTATCATCACCTGTTTTTCAAATTTCAGGTGAAGGAACCTAACTCAAACAGTGTCAAAAGTTCTCTGCTTGTGCAAATAAGACCAAAAAAAAAATGAAGGCAAAATAATTTCTCTGCAACAGAATCTGAAAACATGTATGATATTAGATAAATGAATGTCAAGATTAGCTTCACTCTGAAGTCTACAGATAGAGCACCATGGTTTTGTTTTGTTTATAGATCTGGCTTCCCTTTTGATTTGTATTCATTTAGAAAACAGCACTCTCACTAAAAGGTGAGGAAGGCTCATGTACGCAGAATTTAAAATTTTAACAGAATACAGCAAGTCTACACATAACACTGGCTGCCGTGTTTAATTACCCATTTATCTTAAAAATATCCAAATTTAATTACCCATTTATCTTAAAAAGGTATTCAAGTTCTGACTACACCAGCACTTAGTAATAATATTTTTATGCACTGTATGAAGATGTATCTTCAAGTAGAAGAATATAAGAATGTCCTAGAACTACATACCAGAGAAACTGAGACTGAAAAAAGATTTCTTTTAAGGCAGAAGTTCCACTGTATATCAGATTGAAAGCCACCACAATATTAACTATAACTAGTTCATCAAGCACTTAAAAATTTGCATTCATATTAATTCTCGTGCTGACTATAACTCTACTAATCTTCCAGGAAGTCCAGCTGGAGATATGGTTATCCTTTGAGGTTAAAGCTATGGCAGAGTAAAGTTAACCTAAACACTACTTTTAATTATTAAATAAAATGTGCTCATTTATGTTAGTAAGTTATACAACTATTTAGAAAGACGAAATATGAAATATTGACAATGACAAAACAGATTTAAAAAAGCTATCACTGAAAAAGTTAGAACTCATATTCAGAAGAATTCCAATGCTTAAAAACAGATTCACGTATGTTCATCCAGTTGAAGATTAGTGTATTAAAAAAAGTTAAGAAAATACTTTTGTGTTTCAGTTCAACTGCGCTTGATTCAAGCACAGCTTACAGGTTGGCTGATATAAATTAAACACTGGTCACTGCCTCAGCAGCCAAAAGTACAGAAAAATGTACATGTTCACAGGATAAATAGAAGTCTCTTCTTTTGGAGGAATAACAAAAAAAAAAAAAAAAAGGAAAAAAAAAGCTATCTCACTCCAATACGGGAGGTCATCCACTCCAAGCCTTGGCATAATCTGAAAGATAAGAGAGGTTACATTTGGTACAAGTTCTATTCCAGCATCTTGAAGGTATTTTCTACTTTATTGAAGCTTGGCAGCATTTCATTTTTTTTTTCCTTGTAAACCTAAAAGACGCTATCCTTAAATGCTTACTCACAAGTACATGGAAAGAAAAAAAGTTTTTCTTGTTCTACAGAAAGCTAGACCTTTACATACCTTTACAAACTAAAGGGCAGGTTAAATGAACTGTTAAATGAACTGTTAAATGAAAAGACAGTATATCAAAATTACATTACAAAATTAAAAGTGTGTTTATATTGAATACTAAGACTGCATGGGATCTAATCTACTTCCTAACTCAATTTGCATCTCCATTTAAAAGTCTTCTGTTTTAGAAGATAGACTTTCCTCTGATTTTCTAGGTTCTAGCTACCTAATTTATACCCCTTTGAGGTTTACCTCTGTACAGTAAATCAGTATTTAGCTATCCAAGAATGTTATCTTCACTCACATCAGGTTCATCCCCCCAGATTCTTGTCAGATCTTCCCAAGGAATTCTCAGCTCAGCTATCTAACTCTGGGAATGTTTTTTCTAAGTTTATCTCACTACTGTCATAATTTAAAGTATTCTAAATATTCACTGCTTTTTGTTTTACAATACAAAAGAAGCAGCCTAGGACAGCCACTGTTACTAAACTAAACCTTATATTCATTGATTATTATTTTCCTTCAAATGTCAACTTGGTTGAAGATCTTAGTTAGTCCATAAACTGTGTACTCAAAAGTGACTTTAGCAAAACTGGTAGAAGGAAAGTAAACTCTTTGAACGAAATAATACAACCTCCCTATAAAAAAAAAATCTCCCACTTTTTCTCACTAACACATTCCACCCTAAGGAAGTTAATGCCACCATTCACTCTGCAACATATCTCCATGATGTTAGACAATAGTTCATGCTAGTAGCTCTCCCTTCCCAAATACTCAGTTGGATTCACTATTTTTGATGTCACAAGATCACAGTATTGTAGAGGTTGTACAACACAACTAAAAAATCCTCCAAATGTTACACATTACAAGACTGCTTTAAAAACCAAGATGAAAAATCAGCACACTTCACTCCATACAAGCAAGACATTATTCAACTTGTAGAAGGTATCCAAAATGGTTTTTTTAATATATACAGACTAAGGATCTAAACCCAGCATTCCATTTTAGTAATTGTTAGCATAAGGTACGCAAATTTCAAAATTAGCTACACTAGCCAGATAGAAACAAAGTTTAATATTGGTAAAAATTTGTTTTATGATAGATCTGTGTAACTTTTAATCAAAAACTATCTCTCAATGCTAATCAAAAAAGCCAACCAACCTAAAAAACCCTGAACACCTCAACCTCCCAGCTTAGAAGCTTCCTGTAGTTTAGAATATAAAGGAAGAGAACAGTAACTTATTTCTTCAAGCACAGAAAGATACACAAGAATAAGAGTAGCACAAAGAGAATAGGCAGCTATGTCAACAGTTACATACTTAGGTGAAGGGGGTAGTGTTTGGTTTTTGGTTTGGTGTTTTTAACAACAAATGGAAGACATTCATATCAATTTGGAGTTTGAGCTATGAGAAAACCCACAAGGTTCAATTATGAAAAAGAAAAATTAAAAATGTCCCTCTGACAGCAAAGTTCAGAAAATACAAACTTTCAGAAAATCCACTTTGGTGTCAGCAGGTTTCTAAAGCAGTATTCTCTTTTTCCAGGCACTGCCATAGTAAGCAGTAAGCACTTACCCCTCTCCTGTCAAAGCACAGCAGGACTGAATGTGCCACGGGTGATCCTTTATGGAGCTGAGGGTGAGGTATGCAGATATCTCGGCAGCCGTCATGCAGCCTTTCATGTCCTGCTTGTTGGCAAAGATGAGAACTGCAGCCTTCCGTAAATCCTAGAAATGGTTCAGAGTACTCATAACAGTTATTATACAAAACTAAAAGGCTATTGTGCTCACTTCATTTGTTAAAAGAACTGTATCCAAGCTAATCTACGATTTCTCTGGAGCATGGAATTTAAACTGTCTTACTACACAAAGTATTTGTTACAGTAAGACTGAAAACCTAATTTATTCAGAAGTGTTCACCACCACAGAGAATCAAATTGTAATGTATTATATGAAAATCCTTTTGGTGTTGACCACATGTTCATACATAACTAATGAAAGTCTTGTCAAAATACATTTTATAATGCTCCAAATCACTCAGTCAGTGGAATTATTTCTGGTTAAACAGTGCAAGTCCTACAATAAATACTATTCAAATGGAAAAGGCTGCTAAATATCAGTCTCTTAAAATTCTTTCAACTTCATTAAAGAAGTTCTGTATTGATTAAAGCAGTAATAATTTAAGAAAGCTTTCTGAATTCCTGTTAAGTTTAACTCTAGTGTTCTAAGAGGGAGTTTTAATAATGCTGCCTCAGCTTTTATAACTAACTAAAATATTTTGTTTCAGCATGGAATTTAGCATTCTGAGCGGACAAGAACTAGAATGTATGGCTTTAAAAGAGCAGAAGGGTAAACAAATCTAATACTCAGGAAGCTGATAGTTGCAACTAAAAGTGTTCAATACATGTTAAATTTTGAGAGTACTTTTCCACCAAGAAAAAAAAACCCAAAACAACAAAGCTTTATGATCTCCAGCTGAAAAACTCTATAAGAAGCCCAGTCTAGGCCTACCAACTGATTTCAAGAGATGGTAGATCACATTTTCTTAAGAGCTTGAGACTGGAAACCAAAAAACTACATGGGAAAGCTCTGGCACAAGAAGTAATTCTTCCACCTTTTCTGGTAATGAATTTACTCCTTACTGTTAGACCCAAACTACAATTACTATTAAACTGCAAAGTAAAAACTCACTTATGTAAAACACAAGTCTCAGAGAAATGAACTTAACGGGATTACTTGCACTGTACTAAATCCTTTTCTTTTAAAAATGAAGGAGAATATTTAGATTGAAAACAACCTTAATTCAGCTTCAGAGTGATCACAAAAGGGTTTAACATATTTTATCTAAGCAAATGTACAACTTAATTTAGGATGTTTGAGTGAGTTGACCCAATGCTGAACAGTCCCCACAGTAACATATAATAAAAATACAAACAAATAATTCTAAAGGAAAATGAACTGAACTTAGTTTTCCCATAGTATGATATTTACTCACTAATTTTAAGAAACAGGATTAGAACAAAGAAAAAAAAGGAGGCAATTCCATTTCTCTAAAATAAAAAGGTTTCTTGAAATTTTAGCCATTTGGCTGAACTAGTCAGTGGTAAAGGACAACAATATCCAGTTACAATAATATGAAGCATAACATATTTTACAAGTTCAACATTTGCAAAGTAAAGACTGATTTGACTACAATAAAGCAAGTCCTTGTTAGAAGGGTGCTTCATAATAATTTTTCTGCTTATTTATAGCTTATATGATTTTAAAATGTGATCAACATGAATGCATACTTATTCTCAAATCTTTTTTTCTGACGAAATTATTTTTGTTAACATAGGAAACATGAAATGTTATTTGCCTGTTCTCAAAAAAATTATCATCCGAACTCCCCACCATACCTCATGAGCCAGCATTCTATAAAGTTCTTCTTTTGTAATAGACAGTCGCTCTCTATCAATGCTGTCAACAACCAGAATGATGAACTAGGGAAAAACATCAATAGTATAATATGTAAATAAAAACTACAAATTACAGAAAGCAGAATTTCAAGAGACCACTACCACTAATCTTCCAACAAAACAGACACTTTCAGAGGACACCAGAAAAGAGCAAGTGACAAAGGAGAGAAAAGAGAGTAGTAAAAAAGGAGAATTAGAAATCACTGCTGTAATTCTCCAACATATTCTCCAAATCACTTCGCCTTATAAAATTAAAGGGATTCATTAGCCATTGAAAATGACCACAAAGTATGAAAACCTGAGTCACTTTAATGCTGCTGTAACTTTGAGAAGCCTAGCAGATGAGGTGGAACAGTAATAGAATTATTCATATGAGGGAGGCTAGGACTAGCATAGTAAACAGATCTCTTTTCTTCCTCAACTGTTTCCAGAGGACAGAAGTAAAGGAAAGTTCTTTCCAAGTACTACAAGGCACTGGATTTCAAACACTTGCTAGACCGAATACGAAGAACATCCCAAAAGTATCAGAAAAATAATATATGCATCTCTCCGAATTGCAAACTCAAAGATACTCAAGGGATAAATGCCAAGAACTTACTCCTCTATACCAGATAACGCTAGCAGAAATCTCTTTATCTTCATGTGTTTCTTAGATGTAGCTGCACTTTTCCAGATAAAATAAAAAATTAGTCTAAAATACTAAAGATGAAGGTTGAGATGTCATTATCAGGCTTACAGTACATCTAGGATGGATCACTGATCTCACCTCTCTTCAAGAGCATAGCAAAAGATATAGAAAAAGGAAGAGATAAAAAAGCTAATTTTACAAGAGGATGGAATACATATATAAAGAGTAACATCTACAAGAGGTCTTTGCTTTTAGGAGAAATGGTATGAATTTAAGTCTAGAATATTTTACATCAGTGTAGATGTCTCAAAAAGAGTCCTCAGTGATTATATGTGCCTTTTTCTATTGATAACCTCTTGGCCTCAAAAAGACTGTCATAAAAAACAAACCCCACAAGTAAACTGTTGCTGAATTCTTCTCCAGCCTTTCCAGCAAAAGCAGCTCTGCCAGTACTTCATGAGTAGAGCACAGCAAGACTTTCCTTCCACCTCTGGATAAAAGCTATGAGCTGTTTAGATACTGCTGCCTAGGCTTAGAGAAAGTTTCCTTCCTTTATTCCTTATTCCTTCATTCCTCATTTCCTCCTAATTATCATTATTTCAAAACCATTTCAGACTGGATATACAGAAGTCCAGTTGAACACTGCAAATCATCACAAAATTTGCAAATTACATTTCAAAATTTTCTTTTTAATCTACTTAAAAAAAGCAAGCAAAAATGCGATCTAAAATGTATTTCATTATCATTTGATTGCCTAGGAAAAATCTAACTTCACAGTTTATAGCATAGACCAAATAACACTACAGTAAAGTATACAGAAAAAATACTTTAAATATTACCAGAAAAATGGCTGCATACCAGCAAAACCTCACACTTTTTGAATTTATTCTCCTGCATTAGAATGTAAAAACAATACAGCTGCAATCTCAAAAAAAATATTCTTAATAAATAAATATAATTTAAAACAATCTTATTTGATTTGCAGATTTCAAAGCATCTTCTCATACCTCTGTGTTGGAATAATAGGTATTCCATGATGACCGTAATGATTCTTGTCCTCCAATATCCCACATTAAGAAATGAGTGTTCTTCACCACTATTTCTTCTACATTGCTTCCTATGGTTGGAGAAGTATGAACCACTTCATTCATTAAGCTAAAGGAAACAATATCACACCATAAAGACCAGTCAGCAAAATCCACAAGGCTTGTTAGAGGTACTATGCTGCTTTGATAGTCAAATACAAGGATATTAATTTATCTGTACTCTCTTCCTTTTCCACAATTACAATAGTAATTATTGTTCTGACAACACTCTTTAATTTATTATGGATATTCTTGTAATGCTGCCAATATTTGAATGCAATGATGCTATTGAAAATTAGTAAGGTAGGACCTGTAAAAGCTGAAATATTATTTTTAGGAATTCTCTATCACAGATTTTAGACACTGGAATTGAGAAACATTTGGAAACATTTCTGGATTTTTGCAGGGTGGTTAGAATTTCTATTAATTTAAAAATCATGTTATTTTCTGAGGCTACTGGAAGCAGGATCATTTCTATGCATACAAATTCAGACAGGCTTTCATGGGAAAAAATTGCAGTTCACTTTGTACTTGGATGTACAAATTTGTTGTTCAATTTACAATTCCGTTTTAAAGCAGTTCTTTCAATTATCCTTTAAAAATTTACTCTGATTAGAACAACTAATATCATTAATGTACAAAGTGTGATCTAGAACCCTAGAGATTAGAGCAGGTTACAAAGGTGACTTTTCAAAGAATAAACAGTGACAAGTAATAAAATGCAAACAGAAACACATTTAGTTCATATACTTACAACTGGTAAAGAATAGTAGTCTTTCCAGCATTATCAAGCCCCACTATGATTACTTTGTGCTCTGCATATACCAAAAAAAAAAAGACGACAAAAATAAATTAGTGGAAACAGCAATAATTGTAATTCTGGTTAATCACTCTCCCTTACTGAAGAAAGTAACTGTTTGTTTCTTTTGTGTCAAGGTCAATACCTTACACAGATTGGTGGTGACTTCAGGACAGAAAAAAAGGAAAATAAGTCAAACAAAGCCTCATCTTCTCTTGAGACTCCAGTCTCAGGAAAAGTCAGCACTGGAAATCTAATAAAGGCATGGTTACGAATGATTACTTCATCTACAAGATCTAGTTTTCTAAAGAAAAGTACAATGAAAAAATACAATCCATAGCAGTGTATCGCACTAAGAATACCAACAAATATCCAAAGACTGCAAAAGATTTTTTCCTAATATTTAAGGATCAATAATAACCATTTAATTAAAATACCACCATTATTCACAAAGTAAAATCTAAGAGGAAACTGTATTTTGAATAGGCCACAGATTCTAATTTTGCAACTTCTGAACTGAAAAGTCACAGAATGATAGTGGTTAAGGTTGGAAGACACTTCTGGAGGTCATCTGGTCAAATCTCTTTGCTGAACCAGGCCCACAGAGCCAGTAACCTAGGACCATGTCTCAGATGGGTTTTTAATATATCCAAGATGGAAACTCCACAGCTTCCCTGGACAGCCTGGGTCATTGCTCAGTCACCCTCACAGTGGAAAAGGGATTCCTGGTGTTCAGAGGGAACTTCTGCAGTCCAGTTTGTGCCCACTGCCTGGTCCTGTGATTGGGCACCACTAAGACAAGTCTGGCTCTCCCTCTTTGCACCTCTTTTTCTCAGATGTTAGATTTTTTAATCTAGTCCTTAACCACCCTTGCAGCCTGTCACTGGACTCTCCCCAGAATGTCCACACCTCTTTTGTACTGAGGAGCCCAGAACTGGACACGGTACGCCAGGTGAGGCCTCATCAGTGCTGAGCAGAAAGGAAAGACCATGTGCCCCAACCTGCTCTGAAGTCCAGCATACAAAATAGTGATCTTGCAATTGCTGCAATGCTGTGTTTCCAGGCACAGGGGAGACAAAACAGAACCAATCAACCAAACAAGATCAGTAAAAAAGCCCTTCGAATTTTATATGCCTCTCTGTAAATAATCCCTCTTAGAATTTCTAATCCAGCAGCAAAACCACTTAGAATGGTGGTTCTTTTGCTACATGTGTGAAGCTGCAGCTACTGATCTAATTACTGACCAAAAAAAGCAAACCACTTGAGACTGAAAAATTTGCAAATGGATACATAAAAACTCTGTGAAAGCTCACTATTAAAGAGATAATATTTACAATTCTAGGGCACTTATTTCAAAGCACAACATGGTTCACAGTTGATCTACAAAGATCTATCGTAAGTATCAAATTGATGCTTTTTCTCCCAAAAGTGGGTGGTTTAAGGAAAAATTGAAGCGTTTTGGTAAAAATCTATTTCTATATATTTAGCTAGGTATTTTTATACTGATTACTGTAATGAAATAGTTTCTTGTTTGGAACTTTTGTAAGTTTTGCTATGCAATAGGGTCATAACAGATGGTAAAATATATTTCCCTGTGCCAGTTCCCCTACTACTGTATCCTGTCAACACATTCTAAGAAAAGAATGTGACTGAATGTAAATGCAGGAGTACTTTTAGCACCAGTAACAGCAGCATCAGTAATTAATAACCTTTCCCAATACATAAGTAGTATGAAATCCTCTCTACTTTCAAGGCTAATAAATCATGCCTAGTAGCTTGACTGCCCATCTCTTCTTCAAATAGTTAAAGAGCTTTCAAAGTTCCAAACACAGAAATACAGTCCCTTTTTTTTTTTAAACCAAACATGTTGTCAACTATTTCCAGGAAGATGATTCTACCTTTACAGCATTCTGTTTAAGCTATTTTCAAGAAAGAAAAGAAATCCCAGTCAGGCATTACACTGCTCTCTCATCTTCTTATCAGAACATCTTAGGCATGAATGATTGGAGTGTTGCATGATACACCAGCACACTAAGTAATGAAGAAAAAACCTCCATTGAGATGATTGCTTTTGAAAGCCACTGAAGTATGAATGGTCCAACACTAACTGGGAAAAAAGGGCACATCTTATCTGTGTTACTTCATAGTCAAATGGTGTTTCATACAGTGATTGAATAAGCACAAACAATAAACAGTCACAAAAGTGTTAATTAATAGTGATCTTGGCATGAAAATAGCAAGATGAAATTACGGGTATTTCATACAAGTAGCAGAGTCCAGAACTATAGTAATGGAAACTCTTCACTTACAAACATATTTAAAAGTTGAATTTCTGTCTAATTTGATGAAAATAAAAAATTCGCACACAGACGTGCATTAGAGGAAAAACATGTGAGCTTAAAAACTACCAAACTAAGACAGAACAGTATTTTAGCACGACAGCTACTTGTTTACCAAGAGTAACTAGGAGAAGGCTGATGCCACATTTAGGAGGAAGGACAGTTACTGGGTAAATCATAGGCAGTGATTTATTTGTGTTCTGTACTTACAGACTAAACCAAGTTTTTCCCTTTTAATGGCTGGTATTCAAACTCAGTTTAGGTTGTATTCATCAATATCTTCCCAGTCCACCATGTTCTTGGCAAAAGAAGAAGAAAATCCACAACAAAGTTGAGAGAGCAGAAGAGCCTTTATTAATCATGTAGGAAGAGGGAGGGAAGATGGGGAAAGTAGAAGTAGGCATAAGCAGGGGAAAAAAATAGAAAAGACAGTATTAGACTACTCTTTAAAAGAATCCAAGGACTTCTTGGTTTCACAGCCATTTCTAGAACACTGATTTAAAAAATTGATATGTAATACCGTTTAAAAATTCTGTGGCAGTTTAATTTTAAAAAAACACAGGACAATGAAGATTATCTTCTGGCAGATGTTAGAAGAAAGACATAACATGCTCTTCTCTTCCTTACTCATGTATATTTCTCTATGGTAAATGGACCCAAACCTGAAGATTCAATTCTCCCAACACGCTTTTTTCTCTACTTTGCAAAAGATAAAAATAAAAATAATCTAAATACTTTAATGATGCTACTTCTAATGTATCTGGAAGAAATGACAACTCAATGAGTACTTTTCTGATAGCTTTCAAGCTGTGAAACAAAATGCTCATCTGGTTCCAAAGAGCAACAACCATGGAGGCCTCAGAGTTGAAGACAATGCAGATGGAAGTTTGCTAGAAAGGATGAATAGCATAATTCTGGATGTCAAAGACATTTCAATACAAAGCTCATTCTGCACACTTACAGTCTTCTCTTAAGCACAAAATAACTGCTAAAACACATTTTGTATCCTCAGATTTGATTACAAAGAAGCAGAGAAGCTGCCAATAACTTTTAACAGTCAGAGAAACCAAAAACCATTTGGTTTTTCACATAATGGTCTATCCTAACCTGACTGGGAACTGCCAGTAAGGCTAAGTGAAGTAAACTGTGGAGTTACAGAAGCTCAATCATCTTGAATTAGAGCGTACCATTACTTTTCTTAAAGCAACTTTTTAATAACTGTAGCAATTATTCAGAGCAACCTGTAAGATGTTGAATAATTACTGTTCCAAAAATAAGTAAACCCTAGATTTGTGAGCTTCTCAAAGAACTCTATGCACCACATTAAAAAAAAAATAAGGTACTGATAACAGTCATTTATCTTTATCAGGGTTGCTGACATTCACTTCTATTTTTAACCCACAGTTTAATTAAGAACTATCTTGGTAATAATGATGGAATGGTAAGTCAAGCAAGTTTTACTCAGGCATGTGTTAACACAGGCACTAACTTAATGGCTCCACCATCTATCCACACGACTACATGCTGCTTAGAAGAATGTGCCGTGATTACTGAATCATAGCTTCAGCAGGTCATTTTTGGAGTCTGATTTTTTTTTAAATTTCTGAAAGTAAGTTACTAATAAAAGTAAATTCAACTGAACTTCTGTAATTTAGCAACTAGACTTTAAATGGCTGCAGAGAATGATATTTTAAATAAAACAATACTTGAGTACTGTTTTTTTGTCAATTTCAAAAAAAAAGAGGAAATATCACAAAACCATTAAAAAGTCACCTAGAAAAATGACAAAAGTCTATTTTAAAGCCAACTGTTTCTTTCATGAATAAAAATATCTCTTTTTCAGTTCACATCATTCAATTATATATTGAGAGCCGAAAGATTTAGACACACCTTATCCCATGTGCTCTACTTGATGGAACACAGATGAAACTTTCAAATCTTTGCTTAGTTCCAGCTTTCCTTTTGCCTTTCCTTTTGCAGATTATCACACAGCTCACACCAGCCATGAGAACTGATGCCATGATCCTCACACAGCAGACCCTATTTGCATCTTTGGAATACTCCCTCTGTACAGTAAAAATGAATGTGCAAGTTACTGTCCTAGTCTGCCCAACAAGCAGCTTCACAGGACAGCCTGTGAATTCTCCAAGGAGCTATCAAGATTTGATGTAACTAGAAGAGCAACCAGAATAAACTCAGAAATTACTATGCTTTATTATTAGTAATGGTATTATTTAATACAATTGTGTTGTGGGAGAATAATTTCCCATTAGATCAAAAATTTATATCTGAAGCAAATTTTCTAAACTGAAATTTCAGTTTTGGCCATGAAAAGAAACTCACTTTCTTTTCTGTGGCTACACAAGAAAAGGAGGTAAAGGAAAAAAGAAAAAGAAAAACAAACCCCAAACAACCCAGAACAAAGCAAAAATGAAACAAAAGACAAATCCAACAATAAACCACGATCATGACACGCCCTAAAGTCTCTTATTGGGATAAATGCCAAAAAGTAAATATTTCATGGTATTATGTAATCTATTTAACTGTGAGACTAATATTTCATTAACCATTTAAATATAAGAATGTATTAGGTTTGCAATGTGAGATTTTGATAGTGAAGAGAGCTACACAGTGTTTTCTGAGAAACTCCTAGAAACCTCTCCTATATGTATGTAGCCAGTGCCATCAGCAACAGGTGTAATGCCTCTGGGATAACATATTTAAGATGAGAAAAAGTAATTGCACAGGTAAAATTACAGACAGAGAAAAGAGCAGTAAGAATATGCGAGAGAAACAACTCTGCTGATTCCAAAGCTGGTGCAGAAGGAGGGGGAGGTGCTGCAGGTGCCAGAGATTCACCCACAGCCCATGGTGAGGCAGCTGTGCCCTGCAGCCAGAGGTCCATGGGGGAGCAGAGATCCACTGCCCCTTGCTAGAGCAGGTAGATCCCGAAGGCAGCTGTAACCCCACTGGACACTCATGTTGGAGTAGGCTCCTGGCAACCTGTGGACCTGTGGAGAGAAGCCCACTCTGAAACAGGTTTGCTGGCAGGTTTGTGACCTTGTGGGGGATCCATGCTGGAATGGACCATCCCTGAAGTACTGCACCTCGTGAAATGGACTCTTGTTGGAACAGTTAGTGAAGAACTGTAGACCCTGGGAAGAACACACATTGGAGAAGCCCATGGAGCATGCATTGGATGCAGTCCCCTCCATAAGGAAGAAAGACAATAAGTGATGAACTGGCCACAGCCCCATTCCCTGTTCCCTCCTGCAGGGAGGTGGTAGAGAACCAACAATAAAGCTGATCCTGGAAAAAAAAGAGGGAGGAGTGGGGAGCAGGTGTTCAGAAGATCTGGTTTTATTTCTCAATAACCTGTTTTGGTTTGCTTGGTAATGAATTATATTAATTTCACAAATTGAGTCTGTTTTGCCCATGATGGGAACTGGTGAGTGATCTCTCCCTTTCCTTATTTCAATCCAGAAGCCTTTTGCTGTGTTTTCTCTCCCCTTGTCCAGCTGAGGAGGGGAGTCACAGGGCTGTTTTGGTGGGCATCTGGCATCCAGCCAGGGTCACTCACAATGAAGAATAACTTTTCTTCCAGGAAATAATATACAAAAACCAAAACAATGTGTCTTCCTGAAGATAAATACTGACATCATAAGCTACTATAGAGGCAAATACAAAATGCCATCAGTTATCTGCTTATATGCCATACGTTCCCTGCTTATAGATCTCTTCAGAGTCTTTGGAATACTTCATGGAAGAAAAGGAGTTGCAGATTGCACTACTTTGTGAAAAAAAAAAAAAAAAAAAAAAAAAAAAGGTACTTAATTTCCTGGAGGATAGGGGAGACATTGGATCTTGTGAAATAGGTTTGAGAGTTTGGAAAACAAGAAATTAGCAACGAATTTAGAAGACTCTGTTAGAAGACTTCAGGAATTATGTGGTAGGATGGTGTATGCATGAGAAAAATAAATTATCTGGGATTGGATCCCAATCCCATCCCATGAGAGACAGTTTGATATACAGATGTCAATGTGCACACACACTGAGGCTTTGCTCTGTATGTACAGAATTAGGGATTATGTGCAATCACAGGCACAAAACTATTAAAGTACACCAGGTGTATCTGCCTCCAAAAACTTCCAACAGAGCATTGCACAAAAACGGCTTATCTGAATTTTCAATAACTTTAAAGTGGAAATGAGGTACACATTTGGGAACTTGATGAGAGAAAAATTAATGAATTTGTTTGTATTGTTTTTCGTTGAGGCCCTCAGCTTGAAGCAGGCAAAATTATATTATTGTTAACTATTTAATTTTCTAATCAAAGCTGATTAGGTAAACCAAAATCATTAAAACAAATAAATTAACAGACAAACCGTAATTTTCTACTTTTATGATAGCCATCTGAGGTAAAGGTGGTGGCAGATGCAAATTCTGAGCTCTGGATTAAAACAAGAGCTATGACTGCAGGGCTGGATGAACTGGGCAGGAGAGCATGGAAAGCGATACTATCCCCTTACGACCTTTTTAATTTCTGGCTGGAGAAATTATTTTCTTGGGTCACTAACTGTATTTAACTAGCATCTTTGCCAAAACACAAACAGATCTTTTACCTCAAAGGCCCCTGCATGTTTGGCGTTCTTATTTTCCTTCTAATTAAAGACTAAAATAACATGATTTTAATAACAGACCCCGACGTAAAAAGGAGGATCGGCGAAGCCAAGACGGACCGTCCTCGAAGCAGTCCCGGCCGCCGCGGCCGCCGGGCGCGCACCGCCGGAAGGTTCCGGGGCACACGGCGCGTTTAAGGCGGCCAGGGAGGAGGGGAGAGGAGGGACCACCTCGGGAACTCGAACAAAGCCACCCCGAGCATGAGGCGCCGCGGGATCGGCGCTCACGGCGCGGCACAAAGCAAAGCCCAACTTTCGGCTGGGCGGGCCTTCAGGGCAAGGCCGGCGAGCGGAGCCGGCCCCGCGCCCGCACGGCCGCCGGCGGCCCCCGCAGCCCCGCGGGCTCCACTCGTCGCCCGCGGCGCCGCCGGTTCGGGCCCGCGCGCTCACCTTGGCTACCGAAGAGGCTCCACAGCTTGGCGAAGATTAGGCCCATGCCTGGCCTCGGCTTCCCGCCGAACGCCCGGGGCGCCCGAGCTCACCCAGGCGGCGGCGGCGGCTCCCCCAGCTCGCTCGGCGGAGGCTCCGCTGCGGCCCCGGCGGCGCCGAGCGGGCGGGCGGGCACAGGAGGGGGCGGGCAGAGGGGGAGGCGGGCACGCGGCACCGCCCCGCCCCGCCAACGGCCGCGCGGCACCGCCCCCGCAGCGCGGCTCGCGCGCGTCGCTGCGGCGTCATGGCAGCGGCGGCGGCAGCGGCAGTGCAGTGCAGTGCAGTGTGTGCGGGGACAGCTGCGAGGAGACGCCAGGGCCGGTGCAAAGCCGAGGGCCCTGCGGTCGGCACGCTCGGGAGGACGGAGCCGTCCCGCGAGGGGCGAATGCTGCGGGGAGCGCGAGGCCCCCGCTGCGGTGGTCGGTGCCGGGGTGGGAGGCGCTGGCAGCGCGCCTTTGCCGGCCCCGTGTCCTTCAGCCCGGCGGTGCTGTGGCCGGTGCACGGCCTCTAGCCTTGGCAAGGGTTGAGGGTTTCAGGGCAGGCAGTGCTCCCGTGTATAGTAAAACTTGAGAAAGCAGCGGGTTCCTAAACTGAGCTCTTGCGGGTGTACCCACCCGGATTTCCTCGCAAACAGCACCGTGGGCAGGCTCAGTAAGTGAGCACGAAGCGGGCTCCGCCCTGGCCAGCGAGCCCGCGGGCACTTAGGTGCCGAAGCGGTGGAAATACAAAACCTGTTACTTTAATCCACTCGGCAGAATTTCGGAAAACAAAAGAAAACAATAATAAATAAAAAAGAAGCGATGTCAGCAACGTCCCGTCCGATAAGCTCGGGCGCCGCGCGGGCCCTGCCGTGGTGGGAGCGCCGGGGCCGTGCCCGGCTCCCGTGGTGACGGCGGCGGGCGGCACTTCCTGCCGCCGCCCGGAGGAGGCGGGCCGCCGGGCCCTGCGGTAGGTGCGTGCCGGGCGGTGGGGCTGGGGCTGGGCGCTGTCCGGTCCGGTCCGGCCGGCCACGGGCTCCGGCGTGCTCCTCCCTTCTCGTGGAGGAGCCGCGCGTGTGCCTCGGGGTCCGTCGGGGCTCGGTGGCGGTGGCGCGTCCCGCTGGGTGCGGCCGCTCCCGGGTACCTGTGGGCTGAGGCGCGGGGCCTCGGGGGTCTGCGAAGAGCTGCGCCTCCCGTTCCTCCCCGCTCCCTGATGTTTCAGTAACGGGAGGGCGAAGGAATAAAGGTGTGAGCCCCATGTTCCGATCCCTGCGACAGTGACCCCGCTGTCGTTTCCTCGTGTGTCGAAGGGTGGGTGGGGAGGTTTGAAAATCTTGCTCGACATCTCTGCTGCTGGCTGCGTGTGACTGCTGGGTAGCGTTCGTGTGCGTGGCTAGATCAAAGCCTCGCTCCGGCATCGTGTTGGCCGCTGCAGTTCCCCACAGAAGCACATAAAAATCCGTGGGGAAAAAAAAAAAAAAGTTCAAATCCTTTCTTCTAAAATCCGTCATACCTTTTCTGGGGCAAGCGGCACAGCAGGTCTGGAGGGAAAAAAAAAATATTTAGCTACCAGGAGCCTGCCTCCTGCTGAACGTTTGAAGCCTGACTCTTTACTTGGCACTAGGGGCACCAGGGAATCTCCCTCACCAGCCTGGCTTCCTGCTGGATCTGAACTTGAAAGCATCTGTCCTGTGCCTTCTCAGCTATGTTCCCCAGCCGGGAAGATTGCCTTCATAATGTAAATATTAAAGTTACACATAGGGCGTATAAACACCACATTTCTACATGTCTGCTTAATTATTTTCAGGATTCCAATTCTTAAAAAAAAATTTAGAAAGGGATTTTTTTAAAGGCTGATTTATTATGCTTCTGAAGAAAAACCTTTCAAAATGTGGGCCATATGGGGATCCTTTTGTGGTTGGTTTGTTTGGGTTTTTTTGTGGGTTTGTTTTTGGGTTTTTTTTCTGTAATGTAGGCATTCTAGGACAGCAGGCACATAATATGTCACATTTTCTGAAATGTTAAGTCTGACCTTTGGTGATTTCAGTTGTATCGACTGTTAGATTGTAGTGCTATTGTACTACTATTAGTCTTTGTGGAAATAGCAGGGAAAATTCTTGACATTTTGTTAGACTTATAAAGAAGATAATTCAATTGCAGTTTCTTTCTTTCAGTAGCTGCTAATGTTGCGAATAAGGCTTTGAAATTCCTAACCATGAAACTTTGCCTTTGTCTGGCTCAAGAGTAAGTCTACATAAGGTCACATTCTTTCAGCATTAAGATTTGAATTGAATCAGAAATACTAAAAATAAAAAAAACATTCTTGAGGGGTTTTGTATGATAAAAGTGACAAATAATCTCTTATCCAAAAAAAAAAAAAGAACACTAAACATTCTGATCTCTCTTTTCTAAGTATATTTAGTACAAGGAAAATATATTTCAATAGTTAAAATTCCTTATTATGAATGGAATAACTCTTGAGTGCTGTTCTTTCTTTCCTTCCATTTACGTTTTTGTAAGCAAATTTAAATTTTTAGGTAGTCTCATTTCAGACTGAAGTGTATATAATTTTTCAAAATATTTGAGAGGTGGGCAGATTCCATTTGGGAAGACAAGTGTATTTTGTTATCTACAGAGAAAAATGGTAAAGAGTAAAATCTCTGTCAGGACTGAGCTGCAATAAGACTATATAGCTGGTCTTTTCAAGAGGAATTAAAGCTACATCTTGAAATTTCCTGTACCTTTTATCCATGTATCTTTTTCACCAGATAGCTTGAAGATTATTTTAAGGATCGGTAGAACTTTTGTAATTGAGATAATGTTACAGTCATATCCTGACCAATATTTGGAAATTTGAGTGCAATAAAATTGCATTATTAAAATAGGAAGAGTCAGAACCAACAGCTTAGTTTGTGGGTACATCTTATGTTAAATCTATAAACTTGCAGAATGCGATAAGAATAATGAAGAAAATACTTTGCTTGTTTCAGTTCCTTGCCAGCAGATCTTAAAAATTAGAGGAAGATGTCCTTTTTCCCTAAAATCGTTTTCCAACATGAAGTTGAAGAGTATCTCACCAAAGTTTTCAGAAATAATGAGGTATGTGACATAGTTACCCCTAACTATGAGAAAATAATACATTTTTGTGTAACTTTAATACTTTATGATAAAATATTGTTTTCACATTAAACATGGAGGTTTTATATAAAATATTTCTATATAAAAAATATAAAATTAGTGTTTATTCCCATTAGCTCAAAGTAGCATACAAATATTTAAATTTGAATTGAGTATAAATCAGAGAATTCAGTTTTGGATCCTGCTCAAGAGTGGATCATAGATAATTAAGCACATATTCACCACATAATATTGACAAGAAATACTCCATTACCCCAATGTAGAATACTACAGACTATTAACTCCTAATGCCAAGGATAAACAAATTGCTTTTTTATGTACATGTTTATCAGTATGAAAGTTACTGATTAATAGATTTGAATTTAGTTTTCCATTTTCTTAGGGCTGGTCTATGTACTATAGCAGAGAGCTCTCTAGCAGTTGCTTTGATACTTGCTGCAAACTGTTTGCAGTGATTTTGCTGATACAACTGTTTTTCCAGTAAGTATTTTTCAATACATTTATAAGGCTTCCAGTGGAATTGGACTTCCAGACATAGACATTTGTCACTATTGCACACCACACAATACCCCTCAATTTCTGTGGAATGTTTATTCAGTGGGGTTATTTTGCATTGAGCAAGAGGCTTCTGTGTGAATCTCTTAAAATCTCTTCTTTCACTTTCAGCTTATCAGTGCTTTAGGTACACAGGAAGCAGAGAAAAAATACCAATCTCTGTTAAGTCATCTATCTCATCCACCAGCTTTTACAACTGTAAGAGTAAATACCCACTTGGCCTCAGTGCAACACGTGAAAAAAATGCTATTTGAAGAGATCCAGAAGGTTTGTGCAATTTCTTTGTTACAGCTTCATCTTTCATCTGAACATGAGACCTTTTAATTACTGGAAACTATACCTTACTTCAATGCATCCAGTGGTATTAACATTATAAAATCAAACTGATTTCCTGCCAGTATTAAACATTAAATGAAAATGTATTGTGTATCACTATCCCTCATCTCACCTCTCCAAGAAATGCAATAACAGGGAAAAGACATCCAATTCTTTTTTGTATGGCAGATCCAAACCCTTGATAGGATTGAGGTACTGCAGTGGTAAATAATGTAAAGGTGTATAAGTCTGTAGAAGATGACAGATAAACAGGGTGCTGTCTGCAGCATGTTTAGAACACTTTTGTTTAGGACTGAAAGAGAATGCCTATATATCTAGATATCATTGGAGAAACTGTTTAGGAAAGTGAGAAAATTGGTTTGTTTTGGAAACTGGAGCCACAGTGATGCTCTGCAGCCACTGCATTTTCTTTTTTAAACCTGGTTTTAATCCTTGTATTATTTTCTGGATTTTTACCTATTTTAATTAAACATTTATTTATTTGATAATACGTAAACTATTATGTTCAAAAAATGTATTTTTTGAAATTGTGTCCTAGATCTTCACTCTGTCTAAAAAGATCTGGTTCTTTAAGTAAATTATTAATGCTAGTGGGTGTATAGAGAGCTTCTGCATGACAGGAGCCAAGACATTTCTGTGATGCAGAGGGAGTTGACAGTGTTCTGCTGGCTGGGATGGTAATGAGTTTTGCTAATTTTAGTTTGATTGTAGAAGTCTGGAAATGGGTATTGCAGGCTTATATTTTTTTTAGAGAAAAGGCTTTGCTGAAAACTAACTTAAGATGAGCTTTTCAAAAACTTCTTGTATTTTAAAGTGTGATTACATGTTAGAAAAGGAAACCACATAACACTTTGAACAGAAGTATGGTCATGGATTCTTTCTTTTTTAAGAGAAAATACTTATTTATTAGATGCAAACTGATTTGGGGTTTTACGTACTTTAAGGTTTTATTTTAGAAGGCTCAGATGACATCTGAACACGTTTTGTTTAAGTCCCGGAACCTTTATAAAATAGCATTTTTTTTTTCAGCTACATACATAATTCATACATACATCAGTGCCCAAACTTGGACTGACATGAAAAATCAAAAATTTTGCCAGCCTGGCCTATTAAGTAAGACAAGCAATTCATGGTTAAACAGTGGCTTACTAATAACATCTAAGAGTTAACACAGAATACACCCAATCTTCTAAAGTGGTGTCACTGTGTGTTCTGTGTTCTGACAACTCAGCCTTCTCCCAGAAGAAAGCAAAAGCCATTGATAGTGTTATGAGTGTCAGAACACTCTCCCACTCCCTGAAGTCAGTTCTCAGTCAATCTCTTTGTGATCTTGTTTTTTCTGGATTTATTAAATGTTTGGTCTTTTGTACCAGTACTTTTAATATATATAATGTCCCCTTGCACACTATTTCCCAGCTGCTTTTAACTGTTTTCACTACTTTGGTGTTTTGTGCTCTACAGCTAGAAATTATGAATGGAAAAATGTTTTTCAGTTTAATTAGGTATTTAAATATTAAGTTTATTATTAGTGCTTACTAATTATATATTTTTTTAATGAAACAGCAATTTAAAGGACTATGTGTTCCAGTTCTCGAGCACCCAAAACTTCAGGACATTTTACTAATTCCTGTCATTGGACCCAGGTTTGAAATTTTCAGTCTTTAGCCTTAAAATGTTGTGTACAACATTTTCACAACACAATTTTCTTACAGATTCCTTGTTAAACAGTTATTATAACTAACTCACTATAACTGAGGCACAACTTCATTTGTATTATGACCTGATGGACAGTCCATACACTAACCAGGTCTGAGTTTTAGTACTAAAAAATGAAAGAAAACATAGAGCTCAGTCCTTATTTATAAGACCAATGTTTTAGATGGAGAAAGTGACCTGTATGCATCCTCCCTGGAAAGCCAGGTAGGTGGCAGATAGAAGAACCAAACTTTTGCAGTGGAATATAGAACTATGGCTTAGTACAGGCAAGGTTTTCTTCCACTGGAAGAAATCAAGTGTTACTCAGCAGTTGTTAAACACAAAAAATCACTTCACAACCATCTGGCATAGGAAGGGAGAGAGGACTATTTCTCAATTCCAGTATAATTTATTTGTATTCCTGTGTTAGGTTCATAATAGTAGCAGAAGGTGCCAGAATCTGCATTATTTTGAGGATTGTTTTTTTTTTCTTTACTCTTTCCTTTGATTTCTCTAGAATTAAATTAAATATTTTAATTATAATACATGATAGTTAACTGCTTCTTCTCTATTATATCTGACAAAATCTGTATTTGTGAACTAGGGTTTACCTGGGGAGTATTTGGTTTTTTTTTTTCCAGTATACTTTTCTTTTTTTACTCAACTACAGTTTGTATTTCTAGGCCAGATTTAAAAAAACATGCATCTGAAGTCATAGTTGGAGCCCAGTGTGGATATGCAGTACTTCGAGGAGCACACGTTTATGTCCCTGGAATTGTATCCACCTCAAGATGTAAGAGTTCTCTAAATACACCTGTCGCCCTGATTCTTGAGTTTTTCTAAAGCCTTCTGAGTTTACATTCTATTGGGAAACTTTCCCACACAGTTTCTGTAAATAACGTGTTGTTTTGCATTCCTTCATGGGGGTAGAGAGACTTGATGTACTAGTGGTTTGTCCAATGTCTTTGGAGAGGTGGCCCATTCACTCTCCAATCCACTGTCACCTTTGGAAAAGTATAAAAGTTGGAGTCAGAAAATAAACTTTCTCTTTTACCTTACAAAGTGGCAAGTAGCTCACATTATGCTTTCTTGTGTCCTATAGCGACATACACCCAATTAAATTGTAAAGATGGCAGGAAAAGTGTCACCCTTGAATAATAGATAAATTATTAGTGACACAAAATTGTTTTCTATTCTCAGCTGAAATTAATCTTACAGTTGTGGTTTATAGTAATGAGATTTTTTTAAAGTTTTTCTGGCTTTTTTTTTAATATTTTGACTTTTATTTTACTTGTAGTAAGTTATATGTAATATTGCTCACTGGCCTGGCCTGTTATAAATTCCTTTTTCCATATAATTCGTAGCTGAAGTATTAGTTCTTAAGGATTTCAACTTCTTGTTTTTAATTTCATAATATTTTTAAAGAGAATTTTCAAAGTAAAACCTATTTTTGAAAGTGCTTTTTTACTACTGAATACTATAACTTTTAGTATGGATGTTGAATTGAATAAATTTACAAAGTTGGCTGCTTACAGAAAAAAACTGGGATACCAGATCTGGATGGTGAATAGGTGTATCTTGATAATTTAATAGATACAGATTTTTTATTTCTTCACTCAGTCCTAAAGCCATTTACCTTCATAGTTCTGTTAAATTTTGAGTTACAAATAAAAAAAACCCAGGTTTTCTTTATTCTAATCCATTGACAATTCATTTGTTTACATAAGAGAGATGTAGTAAAAATCTTTTTTAATTGAGGAGAAGAAAGTTATGGCAGTTTTTATGTCAGATTCTTAAGAAAGGGAAATTACACATCAATGCATGTGACACAAGGTTAAAAATCTACATATGCATGCTTTTTGTTCAGCAGCCTATTTTTGTTACTTAAATGTCAAATTCACTTCATGTAAAACCAGTATAATTTTGGATGATTCACCTTATTATTCTATTGTGATGAGATCTAGTGATCATCTTGATTCTTCTTATTAAACAAAACTAGTCAGAAAAGCATTTATCAAGTCACTTTGTTTCCTTTCAGGAAATAACCTACAAGAAGTTTTAAGCATGTGCTTAAGTACAATTCACTGAACAGGAATGTTTTTCAAACTAGGGCTTGATAAGGAAATAAGTATATTGGCAGAGCAGTTGTTGGAACTGCTTATTTAACACAACTCCATAAATATTCAAATCCTTCTTTGAGTCAGCTAGTGATTTATCATAATTGCCACATGTAATTATGCATATAACATCAATTCAAAGAAAATAAAGATACTATAAAACTTATGGAACACTTCAGGGGATTTGCAGATAAGAAAATAAAATAAAAGGGCACACTACCCACTTGATGCCAAATATAATAAGGCTGTATTAAGCACAGATGGTCTAACTAGGGAAAAAATAGTACAGCAAGAACACATATTTAAACTGAACTTGCAAACTTGCAAATGAGGGTAAACTAATGATCAGGGGGCTTTGAGCTTGATTTGACTAAACTTTATGTTTATGGAATGCTGCTATAATCTACAGAAAACTAAGAACCCTATGCAAGACTAGTGTATTTTGAAAGGATGATTGTCAGTAGAGAGTAAAATAAAATAATTTATGTTTGAATACTGCAAAAAACATTGACAGATATGCTTGATGGAAGAGTTAAATTGATATAGGTTTTTGTTCAGTGAAGTTTAAGCTGACATTGATACTGAGCAATCACATAATGTTTTGTGTCACATTGTGTAAAAATAAGTAGTATAAAAATATATTTTCAATGGCTACCCAACAAATACTACAATTTAAGAATTTCAGGGCATTTGAGCATAATCAGAAGTCCACCTGAAAATGGGAAAAACAATTCTCTAGTACAATTCCAAGAATTCTTGAGAAGCTGAACTGCCATTAGTTTTGTTATATCTTCTTGTTCCTCTAGCCTGTCAGTCACCTCAGAAATGCAATTTCGGAATTTTTTTTATTGCTGTCAGAAGAGGCATTTAGTTTTAAGCATATTTTTTATCCAGCCAACACATAGCACTTGTTCACTATTATGTAAAATCACATAAACAATCCCTTTTCTCTTTTTATTTCCCTAACTCAGAAAGTTTGTTAAGTCTGTACGATTACACTTCTGGAGTTTGGTGTATATTTACATACTTTACTGATATGGTGGGTTTTAACTGGAGATACAAAACTCTCTAAGAGGATTATTGAGAACAGCAGTTCCCTTGAAGGGAAGAAAGCCAGACCAGAAAAAGAATATATAATCACTTGTGTCAAAGCAATAAGTAGTTAGAGAAAAAGCAGCTATAGCTGTGTTCTAGGTAGCTATTGAGAGGTCATTAGATATATTTAGCACTCCTGTCTTTGTTCAGTAAGAGCAGTGAGCAGTGTTGTTTCATGTACTTGTATGCTTGGAGCACACATGGAGGACTGGATCCTGAAGAGTGTGCTTAAAACTTACGGGTGACCTTGCCATGATAAAACAAATAAAGAGCAGGTACGTGTAGCCTCTTAGAAAAAAAGACACAGTGCCTGACTTGCAGCTTGATGTCTCTCAGTACCTCCAGTCATTTGGTAGCTGTAATTCAGTCTGTAAAACTTTAAAGCTTTATATCAGTTGATCTTCCTTGATTACATTTAGAAAGTGTGAAGTTTGGTATGATAGAACTGTTGAAGTAAGTTGTCTACTGAAAATCCTAAGTTACGTGGTCACTACTGTTTTGTTAAGTGGCATAATGATTTAAAACTTTCCATTTTTCCTTGTGCAGTTGTGAAAGCTGGAGATCTGGTTTCAGTGTATTCAGATATTGAAGGGAAATGCAAAAGAGGAGCCAAAGAATTCAATGGAGTCAAAGTTTTCCTTGGAAATGGGATTTCAGAACTCAGCCGCAGTGAAATCTTCAGTTCAAGTGGCCCACTGAAGTAAGTCCATAGCAATTGCAGTCTACGTTTAAAAATTTGCAAAGGGAAGGAAGAAGATGGGAAAACACTGTGAATTATTTTGTACCTTATGTAAAGTCACAAGATGGCTTTGCATGTTGGGATTTCCAGTATTTCTTGGGAAGCCGTTAGTTTCACAGTGGGATCCAGATACCAATTTACTTGAGAGGAAGGAGAAAATAAGTGGGAGTGTTTTAATAATTTATGTTTATTCACTTCAGTAATATCAAACAGAACTGACAAATGTTCCCACTCTGGCAAAATTGCATTTTGGTGAACTGTGTAATACTGTTTCCCCCTTTAGATGCGACAGAAGTGCAGCCTTGACAATTTCTCCATATTTTAAAAATATCTGTAGAGGCTTTTTTTTTTTTTTTTGGTAGGACAAAGGACAGAACATAAGGTCAGGTATCTTAAAAAAATTACTAACATTTACCAAAGTAGCTACCTATTTCAAGATTACTTGCTTTTCTATTTTTTTGATGAAGCATGTGGTTTATTCCCCTTGTGTCACCTAAAACACATATAAAAAGTAATGTAGAAGACTATGGATGTCAAATTAATGACCAAGACTTCACTTCCTGAGAACAAACTACAAAGGTTCTAGAGAATATAAAGTACATTACCAGAGAATTTCTGATTTATGAGAGCTTAAATGAAGTAGTGGTGGGATGTTGGTAGCTGTTGAGTTGGTGGCGTGGAACAGCAGAATGTAACACTAAAACTGGTGTCTGCAAGTTTGCTTTCTCACATCCTTCCTTCTCGTCGGACTGTCCAGTACATAGGCAAAATAATACTCTTTCTCTTTAGTAATCTTTTGTTTGTAGACTTAGTGTTGCTTTTTCATGGCTTTCCCTTTATTGTTATCCATTTCCTGGTACATTGGTTTAACAGTTATATCTGCATCAGAATTTCATCCATATTTAAAACTTTTAGGTGACTTCTAATCTCAAACCATAGCTTTGCAGGCAAATCAATGCTTCTGCAAGGCTTTTCATATAGGATTTCTGTAGTAATTTGACTGAAATCTCAGGAATTTAGGAAAAGGAGAAAAATCTAACTAGGAAATCAAATGCCAGTGCTCTAGTGCATACACATGGCTAGCCAAAAGCAGTTATGGATTGAAGTTAAGGTATAGGTCTGGTTTTATGCATTTCTTTGCAGTATCAAGGCTTGGATTACATCTTGGTTTATCCTGTGTGTAGAACCAGAAATTTGCTTTATGCAGTTTTACATATGGTTCCAATTTATCATGTAATGATTTTTAATGATGTAATGAGTAAATCCATCATTTACTCAAGTTAATGATGTAATTTTTGTAATTTTGTATCATAATACAAAATCATAGAAGTATTTTTCTTGGTTGTTCTTTCATTCTAGTAAGATTGTTATCTCAAGTTGCTATTTGTAGCCATGATGATTATAATTGACTACCATTAAAATGTATAAAATTGATATTTGATTTTTTTTTCATGTTTTTCAGGGGGCTGGGAATAAGAATGATAGAGCCAGTCTACCTTAGTCCTTCATTTGACAATGTGCTTCCTAGTCATTTGTTTTTACAGGTATATTTGTTCCAAAACCAAAAGTCTGTACTATTTACATAATAATGAATATTCTCTTAGCACACATTCATGGTTTCTACATTCCTTGTGCACTGTAGCACCTAATTCAGTCTTTGGATTTGAGGAACACAAAGCATTTAAAATGAAGTCAGTACCTACATGTAGGTGGTTTAATCATACTGTGTCTGAGTTATTATAAGGGATTTCAAAGCAACATAAGATATATTCACTTAAAAACATAGAAATCCCTCTTGTACAGATACTCTGTGTAGAACTATTAGTTTTTGAAATCTGCCTGTGAACCCTGCAATACGAGCCCCTTTCAAGGTACATAATTCTGTAGATAATCAGGAAAATCTCCAAATAATAGGCTGATTTGAAACTGTTATTTGAGTATTCGTTAAAAGGTTTTTATACCTTTGCGTTGAACTGAGAAGAAAGTATTTCCATATTGTCTCAGGTGCAGTACTGTGCACAGTTATTACACATTATTTCCCTTCAGTGCAGCTGTTCTGTTTATACAATTAATAGCACAGTTCAGCTTCTTGCTACTTTAATTCAGCAAGCTTAGACTTCTGTGTTTCGATCCTTAGGTGCACCAATATGTTAATACAGTAAATATTCCAATAAACAGGTTAACATAACGTATTTCTAATAAACAGAGCTGCTCTGCTCTGTGTCAGAATCAGCTTACTTTAGTTGGATTTCTAGCACTGTAGTCTCCTCAGTCATAAGCTCTTAAACTTCAGTCATAGATACTCAGACATAGCTTTAAATAATGAGCCACTGGAGAGTTCTGATGTAAACTGTCCATTATATAATATAAATAGTCTGTCAAAGAAATGAGAGCAATATCATAGGTATCTTCCCTGCTGAATGAATTATATTTTTAAATTTGGTTGCCATTCCTTAATTAAGGAGTTGATGCAGGGTATAAAGTTTGAATTCTCTCATATTTATTTTAATTACAGAATTTACCTTCTGTGGTTGTGAGCCATGTTTTAAACCCTCAACCAGGAGAAAAAATTTTGGATATGTGTGCTGCACCTGGAGGAAAAACAACCCACATTGCAACACTAATGCATGATCAGGTAAAAATGTAATTTGGCATTTTCTAAGGAAGAAAGTCTGACTGCTGTTCATTTGTACAGCTCTCTTCACTTAACTATTGGAATGCACAGATAATTTACAGCAGCAAACAATTAGTATTTTGATATTTTACTTACCAATGTACTTTGCTACCCATCAGTTACTGAAATGGGCAACAATCTTCATCAAGTATTCACCATCAGCTTTAAAATCTTATTTGCTACAAGCTGACAGTTATAATATATCTAATTTCACTTTGTAAAATATTATCGATTTATTTTTAATCATAGCATTTTTTACATGCAAGGCATAGTTATGCAAAAATATGCTGGATTCATGAAACTGAAAGGCATAAAAATCAGGGGTTAGTACTGCGTGCCAAAGAAACACACAACTCTCTACAAAAACTTACTGAAAAATTTCTAATCCAATTAGGATTTTTCTCAGTAAAAATTGCCAATTCCATAGGGATATGATTTTAGGCTGAATTTCTAGTTTGGATTTGTCATTCTATGGTAGAATGTCACAAATCCAAAATTATCTAATGAGAAAGCAATAAAAATGAGAATACACAAAAAATGCATAGAGAAAGACAAAGGAAAGAGGAATGTAGTAAAATAAGAATGTAGATACAGGATTACAACTTTGCATATGTTGAAATTTTATGTGCATAGTGAAATGCGGAAATGCAGGTTACTCTTCTTTAGCAGAGGGGAAAAGCATGTAATATCTCCTATAAAATTTTGTAAGGCTTTATTATTTTTGTTGAAATAGAATTATTAGAATATGCCAGATTGTTTAGAAATCTTGCAGTTACATTATACAGTACTTTGACAGTTGCCTGTACATAAATGTGAAGGCATGGCATGTAATGAGAAAAGGCAGGTCTTCAGTTCTGTCATGGTTTGTCTGTGGAAGTGTTTTCTTCCATCAGAATGGAACAATGGCAGAAAGCCATCCCTTCTAACCCAAACCATTCTATAATTCTATGAGTTCTGTATCTCTGCAGTATACAGAGATGTGCAGCGAGTCTACTGTTCTTGCAACAGATAAAACTTTGAGGCGGAGTCAGGTCCTAGAGTACATGTGCAGTAGGTGTTAGGGGACAAGTAGGAGGTGATTTGGCTCACAGCACCATTGACACAACGTAAATCCATTCTCACCTCTCAGTCCTAGATCTACATATTGCCTAACATGACATACAGGTAACAGCTTATCTACTGACTATTTTTACTTCTTGAACTATCTTAGTCATTTTAGTTATCTTAGTATCTTGAACTATCTTACCCTTCTATAAGACTCTAGAGAGCTATCACCAAATAGAAAAAGGTTGTTTTTTTCTCCGCATATTGTGTTTGCTGTAGGAAGTCTAACACAAGTTTCTGTTTCTTGGGTTGTTCTGTTCTGGATTTTACTGATGCTACTGTTTACTTTCCGTTGTGTTTTCATGTAGCAGGTAGTGATGTGTGTCTTTTTTAATTTATTTTGGGGACGAAAAATAAATCTTATTTTTACATAATAGGAATTGTGTAACTGTGATTTTCCTCCCCTCACTTCTAAACTAGTATTTACACTATTTCCTGAAGTAACTTGAGTGGCAATTACTGCAAGTATTCCAGTATGTTATGAATCTGAGCAAGTCAGAGACATGGCTGTGGGCCCCATTTCCTCAGCTCTGGGCTGTAGTGTGATCATATTTCCTACTCTCTCCATACAAATTTAAAACCTGTTGACCTATTTTGCCATGTATTTGAGATTTCTACCCTCATTCAAATGATTAATTTTTTATCTTAGTGCCCAGTTCAGCAATTCAAAATAAACAAACAACAAAACTACTTGCCAGAAGTCAGATATTACAGCATCCCTTAGAGTGACAGTGCCAAGCAGTCAGAATGTGCACAGCTTCAGACTAAAGTGGCTGTTGTGGAAAACATGTGGGAACAAGGACTGCAGGAGTAGGGATTTAGTTCTGAAATAGTTCTGTAGGGAAGACTATGCTGTATTTATTACACTGCCCAGGATTGGGGAAGGTAAAACAGAAACATCCATTTAATCCCTATGATTTTGATGAAAAGTTTGGGATTTTTTTTCAGGGTGAAGTCATAGCCATGGACAAGATAGCTAACAAGGTCAAGAAAATCAAGCAGAATGCTGAATTTCTACAGTTGAATTGCATTAAGGCCTTTTGCTATGATGGAACAAAGGCCCTTTTAGTAGAGAAGACAGAGGATAAACAAGGTAAAATAAACGATTTGGGTAGTAGTAGCTTTCAGAAGAAAATAGTAATGTTTTGCAAAAACAGTGCTAAACCTTTCACAGGTTTACAAGTCCTTGATATCTTGGCAGATACCTAAGTTGCATCAGCACTGTGAATGCACTTTTATTTGCTACTCTTGTGATTATCAGCTTCTCTATGAAGCAAATAGAAAGTCAAATTATCTGTTCTTGTCACAACCTAATATTCTCAAAGGAAATGCATTCGTTTCCCAGATAATATTGAAGACTGAAGAAGCCTTAAAGCTTCTTTCATGATCACATTTAACCCCATACTGGGAAGTTTATGAACTAGTCTGAGAAGAAAATTATTTTTGCAGACTTGCTTCACTTTTCTGCCTCATAATCCTCATCAGTAAAATGGGGTTATTAATACCTAACTCCCAGGAGTACTGCAAGGTTTAGTTCATTGATGTTTGTTCAGCTGTTCAAGGAAAGTTATATACGAGCACAGTGTATTATTTTAAGTAATTTCATTGCTTTTTTGAAGTGATGCAGTTATGATATTGGTTCTGTTCCCATGATGGAATTATTTAAATGGTATCTGCTGCCTTGATTATTTTTAGTTTGTTGTGTAAAGTATGCTGTTCTTTCTCAGTCTATTTTATCTCAGTCACTGGTTAGCCTAAGTAGGAATCAAATTACATAATTCACCTTCTTTGTCCCTATGCATTGCAGTTATTCCTGCTTTGGAGGAGCAAAGGTACTTTCTTAAGAGTCTTTTTATGAACATCAAATATTGTAGGTGGCAAGTAGCAATTACAGAGATTACCAAGAGCAAGCTGTAATACAGAGAGATAATGAAGGCTTTTATGTACATTTCTGCAAGTAACACGTTACATATTTTGAACATTTTAGTAATGGATCAGAGGTAGATAAACCAGATAGACTTATTTTGTAGTCAGGAAAAAGCTAGGTAGCAGTAGTGTGATAATACAAGTTTGGCAGCAGTAGTACATGGTGATGCTGAGCCAATATCCCTAGTACTGAGAAGATAGAAACTTCTGGGCTGTTGATCCATTGGGATACAGATTAAAGGATAGGCTCTGCATATGGAAGATACATATTGTCATCCAGGTAACAGTCAGAAATTGTTCTCTTCACAATCCCTTTTTACGGAATTGTTCTGCCATGAGAAGTTGCAGTAGTTCATGTTATTATGAAGTGCTTTATTTTATATAGCTATGCATACATCACAAGAAACAGTTATTATATAGACAGTCCAATTATTATAAGGCAGTCTCAGTGATTAACTGCGGGTTTGTCTCAGTAAAGGTTTGCACACTTTTGAGCTGACTGTGGTTCATTACAGCCTATATGTACAACTCTGTACCCAGCACATGTGACCAATCATATTTCAACTGTTTTGATTACTTTTACATTTTGCTTTCAAATTACTAAATTAAGTTAAAAAAAATACTACCTAGTGGATTGGTTTTGAGCTCACAGAACTTAAACCGTTCAGTTTTCTGGGAGAAGAAAACTACCACCAGCAGTGCTGAGGCTTGTCTCTAGCTGAGACTAGTTTTGCAGACACTGTCTATACCACACAAATGTTTTATGTCAAGGAAGCAGTAACAGCTTCTCCTTACCTACAGTGAAGTCTCAAGGAAGGAAACAGCCACAGTTTACATTACTAACTGCTTTTTACAGAAGGACCTCCATTCTTACCAGAGTCATTTGATCGAATTCTTCTTGATGCTCCATGTAGTGGGATGGGACAGAGACCAAACATGGCTTATTCCTCAACTTTAAAGGAAGTGACTTCATATCAGCCACTACAGCGCAAGCTTTTCACTGTGGTATGTGTTAAACATTGAGTAGATAAGCTAAACTGAACACAAATGCTTTTGCAGCATAAAACTTACCCAAAAAATGGTGCCTCTTTTTCCCTACTTTTTCAGCAGCCAGGAAGTATTAGGGTCCTGTTAACCTCTCAGCTCCAACACATCTGTTGCTAGGTGAAGCCAGTTCATTGGAGCATGGTAAAGGTTTGTGTAATCCATAATAAATAAAAAGCTTTGTGTTTTTTTACTTCCCTCAGTTTCATCAGTTTTACATGATAATAATTACAAAGGTCTACAAAGAGCAATTATTACATAATAATAATAAGAGCAGGTGACTTAGGAACATGCTAAGGAGTGTGCTTGGGCTGATGCTGAAGGATAAGATGAGACTTGTCAAAATCTGAATGATACATATTCAAAGTGAATGACAGCTTGAAAAGCAGCATAGATACAACTTCCATGCCAAATACATGGAAACGGTTGACATCTGATATAACTGACATAAGTATTGTGTTATCCATGGTTGGCAGCAGGTGGTGAAAACAGATCTAATCTGTCTGGGGCGTGCAGAGCTGCACAAATAACAAATCTTACAAGGTGAATCATCTCAATGACATTAATAAACTGCATGAGCTATAATGCCTATTTGGAAAGAAGAATCTTTCTCATCCATGTTATCCTCTGCTGTATTCCCCTGGAGGAATTAGTATCTTAACAGTTTGAGTTTAATTAAGTGTTCAGTTTTAATATTCTAGGGACATGGTTTAACATTAGTTAATGTTGCTTAATATGAAAGTTTGAAATTTAAAAATAAGCTGAAATGTGGTTTATTTCTCCCTGCAGGCAGTGAAGTTGCTGAAGCCAGGAGGTGTTTTAGTATATAGTACATGTACAATTACACTTTCTGAAAATGAGGAGCAAGTTGCTTGGGCCCTGAAAACTTTTCCATGCCTCCAGCTTCATCCACAGGTAATACTATTTTCAGGGTACTTCACACAATCTGGTGATTTTACTTTGGAACTATAAAGTTACACGGTATATTTAATATCAGTAAATCTTTTTTTCACTGTGGACAATTTTAACTGCTGTGGATAGAAATAACGGAAGGATTTCCGAGGCTTTTTTGAAGTCTATTTTTGTGCTTAATTGAGCTTATTTAGGCATCATTAAGTATTTTCCCACTCTGTATTGTGGGTTTGTTTTTTTTTTTTTTGATTTGTACAACAATCTTTTAAAACACAACAGGGACAAAAGATAGGCTGGACAGGTTAATATTTCTCTTGCAATTTCTTCAATGCATATATTTTATTCTCTTCTTTTGCACATTCACAGGAGAGGTTAATTTTTTTTTTATTAATACCACTGAAATCATGAAGACTTGCATATGAAGTATGGGACGTAAACAAAAATAAATTTTTGTTTCAAAGAAGGAGGATTTTATATGTATGGGACCTTTTTTTGATTTATTTAAAAGGAATGAGGGAGATAAATTATTTCAGGCTCAATGTCTCAAGAATGTACCTTGTCTTTTTTGGAGTCAGTGTCTACCATTAAGATGTCTGGGAGAAGGTAATATATATAGGGAGATACTGGACTGTTTTTATCTATACTAGCTACAGTTCATACAATTCAGAAATACCTGTTACCTTTTATAGTACTTCACAGGGATTTATCATAAGACCACGTGTGTCCCACTTCCTCTTTGATGAGGAGTTGGGTGTGGTAGTTGTTTATCATCATGGCTTTGAGGAAAAGTCTAACTCTGATACCTATTTAGCTTGCACATTCTGTGATGACTTGTATCTGTCTTAAGAAGCTTAGATGAATCTTTCACTGAAAAGTAAAAAAATATACAGTAGCTGTACAATGAGAAATTAATATGATGGCTGGTAAAGATTTAACAGAACTGAAGCTCTTCCTTAAAGCTTTTTGTGTGTTCTTTTGTCTGTATTCTCACCATCCATTCACTAAGAATTTTTCAGTTCCAGACATTTTAACTGAGATTATACATTTGACCTAACAGAATAAAAATTCCTCCTTGATAGAATGACAGAGCAAACACAAACCTTATTAACTCAAATGCAAGATTAATTCTTGCTATATAAACTTTCTCTCACCAGTAATACCAGTCTTGAATAAAGCATTGTTTTTCACACACACATGCCATATTTGTAAAAATTAATCTTTTATGTATAGTATATTTTAAATGAGGTGACACTGAATTGTTTACCCACATATAATCTATAACACCTTATAACTAGTTCCCTGCTAGTGTAAACTAAGGTGATCTTTTCCAATGAACTTGAAACAGAAGTCTACAATCTACTTACCTCATGTTCCTTTATGTATTTATTTCCCATATTCTTTAGTCTCAATGGATACCTCCTTTTTTATCCAGTCCACTGTTTCCCACTTTCTCAGTTTGGCAACAGATCCTGGAAGCACATTAGGTAATGTGGGCAAGGAAAAAACAGGAGATGGAGCCATAAGCGTTGTTCTTGTAGGTGGAGGTTACCATATGGCAGCTGCTCCTTTGTGCAGACTTCCTCTTGGGAGTTTACACAGGAGATAGTGTAGATCAGCTTAAATGCAGTAACTTAGCTAGAAGGAAAAAGGAAAAGGTAGAGGAAGACACTGGTCTGCTTTTAAGCAAGTTACTTGAACCTGTGTAATACTGTTTTTCCTACACTTTTACCTTTCCTTCCTTCTATTACATCAAGTCACTACCTGTGTCTCCCTTTGTATGTTACTTTTCTCTCAGTTTGCAATAGACACCTCTGTTTATCTTTTGCCTGGAAAGCATTGAAATCCTGCTGAGGGAAAGGAAGAACCAGTCTGTAACCCCTTGGCTGCCCAGCTCTCCAGCCTGCAGTACCTGCTTAAGCAGCTATCATCATGCGCTGACTGGATGAGCTCATGAGTTAGCAGAGTGTGATGGCTGGAAAAATGCTCTACTGTAGGCTGCATTATGGAGTACATTAGATTGACAAAGGAGATCTATTTTTGATACTGCAGTGCCAGCTTTTGCACATTTTGTTCCATCTCCTTACTTGAATGCATTGAAAGACAGTCCAGCTAAGAATTAATTTTTTTCCCAGGAATTAGGGTATTAAATAAGAAGCAGTCAAGGCTATCCACAAGAAATATTGAGAAGAGGGCTGGGATTTTAAGTCCTTCTTCTTTCCAGGATTTTGAAGACAAATGTTATTTCTTGAAATTGATTCTTTCTTTCTTCTCTGTCTCATAGACGTGAACATGTAACAGTAGTCCCCTTTACCTGTTAGTCTTATTACATGACAAGAAAACTCAAAAGTTACATTTTTCTGTTGCATCATCTTCCAAAATGATGCCTCTTGAGGCAGTAAAATAACTGGACTGGGGCTTTTAGTCTCTCCAGTTGAAGTTTTTACTGTGAAGAATCCCAGTATTTTAGGTTGGACATCAGGAAGAAGAAAGGGTGATTGAGTGTTGGAATGGGCTGCCCAGGGAGGCAGTGGAGTCACAGTCCCTGTGGATGTTTAAGGGAAGACTGGATTGCAGTTGGTACCATGGTACAGTTGACAAGATGGTGTGAGATCATAGGTTGGACTTGATGTTTCTAAGGTGTTTTCCAACCTAGCTGTCTCTGGAATTCTACTGATGATACTGGTAATGGGCTAAGGACTCAATATTTTTGACTTAACTCATAGCTGTTAGGCCAGTATACAGAAGTGCTGAATGATTTAAAAGTGGCAACCTAAACCCTTTAAACTGGCTTGTCTGGTGGTAACAACTTTCTTGGGATGTTTCAGCCCTTGGAGTGATGAATTGTTTTAGACCTGTTTTAGGACCTGAATTGTTTTAGCACCTATCCTCAAAAATGCTCTAAACTACAGAGATAAAGTGGATGAGGGGCATCACCACCTCCTCAGAATACTTTTATATATCTTGTATAAATATTGTATATATGTTTGAATAATATTGGCCAGATGAAGGCAAGAAAATAAGCCACATTACTTCTGGATCTTCTGGTGTGACTGATACAAGCATAGCTTGTCCATGTTAATTGTTCGGTAGCTCTGCATGTCCTCAGCAGAATACATTTAGGGTATTGAAGAGCTGTAGAGATGCAGTAATTTGCTTTTATTTGTTACTTGAACAGGAACCTCACATTGGAGGAGAAGGCATGAAGGGAGCTGGACTATCACTTGATCAGTTGAAGCTGCTGCAGAGATTTGATCCATCTGCTGTGACATTGCGAGGAATGAATATCAATTCTTTGCAGGATTCTAGAGAAGATGACCTGATTTCTTTGGCAAATAAAGACTGTATAGGATTTTTCATTGCAAAGTTTATTAAATTGAACAGTAAATAAGGATTTGGGAATGCAACCTGAAAAAATACCTCAGTGAGTCTAAGAACAGTTCAGACGTGAAGTGCCTTTCTTCCTGCTGCAATGTTACCAAGCCAACGGGCTGACGGCAAGGTTGCTATGGCAGCACTAAAATCTGCCAGCTGTTCTGATGGGAAAGAGCCACAGGTTGCAGCAGAAAAGTCATGGTTGGGGGGAGGGTAATGTCATTTTTAAGTCTCCCTCTGCTTTTGTATTTACAGCAGGTCAGTGCCTGAATGACAACTATGTTCACTCATACTGCTGTCTGCGCTGGTTTCCCCTTATCTAGTGTGGCATGCCTAGGAAGGGGATGTAAGTTACTTTACAAAATGCAAACATAAAAAAATAGATGGAAACTATTACAATGAATTTTGGAAAGGGTAGTTTTCTGTGGAGGTTTACCAATAGTTAGTTTCCTTAAATAGTGCTTCTCAAAACACTGCAACATTTTACAAAGAAGTGTTTTATAAATTGATACTTAGAACCTCATTTCTCTTTTATTTTAATACAAGCAAGATTCTCTGTACACATAGTATATACACAAAATGCGATTAGGCTTTGTAGCATGTCTTTTATAGCAGCATGAATATATTAAACCATCTCACTCTGGGAATGTAAATAAATATTGTTTCAACATCAAACTTCCCATGCATAAACTGTATTGGTTCTGAAATAGCCTATTGGACTGGCTGACAAGTGACAGTTTTAAAATCAAACATTCGTAACAGAAGGGGCTACAGTTATATTAATATATCAAAAGACAGAAAACAATGCATAATACCATCTGAAATGTTGCAAATCACCTTTCAAACAACTAAAGATATTAACGTTTTTGGTTAGAAAGCATCACCAGCTAAAATCATGAAAATTGAAACTGGGGAAGCATGCTAATGAAAACTGCCTTAGTACATTGCTTGAAGTTTAAATAATCTAAATTTCTTAAAAGATGTTATATGTATTTGGAAATTCTGCTTCAGTTCCAGTTTGAACAGTATTCTCAGTCCTGCTGGAACTGACAGTAGCACTAAAGAAGGAAAGCTTAGGACAAGGAAAAACAGAAACTGACATCTGTGTGTGTTCGGAGTTTTCCTCTCACTCATCAATTTCCAGTTTTAAAAAGCATTATCTGAAAAAGTCTGTCTTTTCACACCTATTTGGTTGGATTAAAAAAAGCAATAGTTCTTTTATAATTTGTCTTTCTACTGTAAGAAGTGTATTTTGTATTTGCTCACAATCAAAACAATCTATCCAATTCTCATTCTCAGTAGTCTGGTTGTATACTTATATTTTTCATAAATGTTTTGATACTGTATGTTTCCTACTGCTCTTGAATAAAAATGAAAGGTTTCTTCTGTCCTGCCAAGGTTGACAAGTACATTCTCTGTAAGACCTATCCTAGCAGGATAGGAAAATGGAATTCTTGTCTAATACTTCTCTACTTCTGGTGGTCATTCCTTGTCTAAAGAAAATGTTAAGTAATATTGTTCATCAATAGTAGGGGAGATTTCCTATTTAGAGTCATGTAAGTTCATACTGTAATCTTTCTAGTCTAAATAAGGTGAAAATAATTACCTGGTAACAAAAGGGATGAATCTTTTATTGTAGGATCATGTTGAAATCTTTAATTCAGTGCTAGTAAAAAAGCATTTTCTTTTTTGCAGATTATAAAAATTTTGTAAACATTAATCAGCACACAAACTATATACCGAAGTCTGTGTAGTCATATAAAGTAAGGAACTTTACCTCCAGTTCTAGTAGCAGGATTTGTGCAATGCTGAATTTGAAAGTATTAAGATTGCTGAATTTTTAGTGGAATATTTGTTGAGACGTCTCCCACTTCCTTTAGTTTTGGATGATAGGCATTTTAAGGAGGTGACCTCACTTGATAGTATTGGAGAATTTTCTTGGGGATGGAAAGAAAATGTAACTAACGTTTCATTAATTCCAGTGTAATTGCAGAACAGACTTCACCTGAAAAAATTACTGATATATGAACTTTAGCTATTAGGGTTGTTTCTGCAAAAGTCAACTGCTAGCCTTAGAAGAGCACTCAGTATATGGCAGGAATTGGCCTCAGCTGTTTCCTGAGGCCCTGTCTCTGCTGGGAACTTCTGTTCTGACCTTCGTCAGGCAGGTCAGAACAGAAACCCAGCTAAGAGTCTCCATCCCTTGAAGGAGCCAGCAGCCTTTCTCTCACTACAGGTGTGGCTAAGTTACATGACTGAAGTTGGATGGATGCCCTTTTCTTTTCCAATCTTACTGTGACTTTAGAAGTGGTAGGAATACCGTCTCATTGACACAGTTCTGATGGATGGTGTATATATGTTTTAAACATATCATATGGTTACTTTCCTGATAATGTTTACACACTGAATCATTGTGCTTCACTAGTTGATGCTGAAGCACAATGGAATATATTAATATATTCTTATATATACATATATGAGATATTTATATATTAAATTTAAAAAGTTATTGTCATTATAATGAAAGATTAAACCTACAAAATAGATAGATTAGGCATGCAATCAGATCTTGTCGTTAAGAAAGTCTGAAAAGTAGTTTTCTCTATTTGCAGAAATAATGATTAGTAATAGTGCCAAATCTAGATATCTATCTTGGTCAGTATAAAGATACTAAAATAGGCAACTTCATATATTATGAAATTATCATACAGCTTTTTCTTGTCTCAGTGTCATGGAATGCACCAGTTTTTTGGATCACAGGATTTCATATGCTTTTTAAGGAAAGGACTAGTGAAGGTGATCAATCAAGAAATGACTTTAAAATGGGTACTTTAAAATATAAAAAACCTTGTTTTTATGTTTGTTCATGAATAAGAAGTTTATGAGCAAATCAAATTTTGTACTGCTGGAATTCATTGCAGAGTATGTATGCATGATAGATAAAAGTGGCAAGAATAAAGGAAGAAATGAGAATATGGATGAGTTAAAAGAACCTGCTTAATCTCTATTATATCTGATAAAAACCTTTTCTGGGGCTGCGTAGGAATACATTTCTAGGGTGGTAAGATATAAAAAGAAACTGTCTATAAAACTACTGTAAGCTCATATGTAATAGTTATATAAAAGTGGGGAAATAAATTACAGACAAATTGCCAAGCAATAAAATTGATTGAATAACATTTGATTAAAAACATTCACAGTAAAAATGGCATCCACATATTTTACAGATGATAGAAGAACTAAGATTTTGGTGAAAGATCTGCAATGAAGTAATAAATATAAGTAAATGCACACCAGAAATGTTATATTACACTCTGAAAAATAATTTCTCTGTTTAGACTTTGTAATAAAGTTTTTTGTAATGTGCTCGATTTTTATGTATGAAATAGAATTAAGGTCAAAAACATTTGGAAAACAGCTTTCAGCCTGATGTTTTAAAGCAATCAGAGGTCAAATGTAACCACAAATCAAAATACATTTTGAAGAGGCTTTAGTAACTAACAAACACAGGAGGTGGTTTACACCAGCTCTTTTCCTTTGAACGTCCATTGATTAAAAGCAGTCAGACCACTCACTTCATTCCAGCTGAGGGAATGATAATGGACCCCATTAAAACCTTTGCAGGTGTCCCTGAATGTGAGCATGACTTTACAAACCAGGAGAGCTTAAAAATGGTAATTGCTAACAGGTTCATAAAAGACAAAGTATTAAGGGGCAGTGTATTAGATCTGGGCAGGAACTGCCTGTATAGGATGAGTAACCAGGTATGCAGGGAGAAATAAAAATGGGCCTCTCCCTTTATTCAGGGTTCAGTGAGTGGAATTTCATTTCCCTATCCTCCATTTATAATAAGGGCTATAGGCTAAGAGTATAAAGATTGCTGTGAAAAGAGATGCTCCACTGAAACTCTTTGTGGCTTTAAAGCTGATCTTCATTAAATAGGTCCAGAGCCTTCTGAGAAACTTTGTATTTTATTTTATTCTTTGAGAAGCAAAAATTATGGAACTCTTCAAATTCTGAACTCTTGATGCCAGACACAGAATATGAATTCATGAGCATTCTAGAAGAATTCTTTAAATTCTGGACAGTAATTTATAGATCAATTTAGTAAAAATAGGATTTTCAGCATATAAGTCGTACTGATGCTGCTTTGTGCACAAACCTGTTTGCTTATTCCTCCCCAGTGTCCTGTCCCTTAGCAGGTCTGGAGACTTTTACTGTCATCTCCCTCCAGTCCCTCTGGAAGAGAATTCTTTCTTCCATGACATTTGTGTGACACTAGACAACTTAGTAATGGACTCAGGCTACTCAGCAGTGCTGTATAGTCATTTGAAAAAACACATTAAAATAAGGTTAACATCTAACATATACATGCAGATTTTGAAATGCATCCCATTCCTTCCATATACTGAAATTGTTTAGAAAAATACAGAGTTGAGCTGCCCAGACTTACATATCACTTAGCTATTTTATCGTCTTCCCTTTCCTTCTGATTTCACTGGTTTTAGTTAATCTGAATAGAAATTTGAATGAACTTTTAAGTTCTTTTGAATGTAAATGTTACAGGTTGTTTTGTACCACACATCCATAAGACTCTGGAGCTCCCTGGGACCTCTCCATTTCTAATTCAAAACCCCTGAAACCAGATACAGAAGTATGAACTTATTAGTATCCTAATGCAACCAATATTAAACCTTCTAATGGCAAAACTTTGCAAAGACATTTCATCACAATAATCTTTGATATGTCCTCCACTTGGGAGTATTTTTAAAGCTTCCTATTGACATAACTCTGTTAAAGTGCTTCTCAAAGTAGTGCTCAGCAGGCAGGTGGTATTGTGCAATATATGTAATACAAGCTCACATTACAAATAATTTGTCACTCTTAAAACAGAAACTGAAAAAAGTATCTCAGCTAATAAAACCTATTCAGTGAGTCTGCCTAAGACATACATGTGCTTGTTAGTATGTTATCTATACATAAATAGCAGCACTATATAAAACACAATTCTATGACCAGTTGGATTTGGATTTGTCTTTTTTTTTATGTTTGTACTCCATGAATCAATACATAGGCCATACATAAATACTAGAGCTTGGACTATTTTCTCATTTTCTTTATTTCTCTTTATTTTCTCGTTTGTCTATACACAACTGCCTATGCCATAGTTTTCACATACTACTCAGTGCTTTGGAATTCTGCCAAACATTCCTTAAAAATACTTTAAGACTGAAAAATAAACACTCTCTGGAGCAAAAGTTAAAAAAACAAAAAAAAACCCAAACAAAGCAAAAATCCCCACACCCAACCAAAAACCCAACAAAGAAAAAGAACAAAATATTCAAGGTATTGAAGTGGAATCACTTAGATGACATAGTTGTCATGAGTTGCAGGGAGCAACACCATTTACTGCACCTGGTAAATTAGCTAAAGCCAGGCTATACAGAGCAAGACAAGATAATTTTTTTCTCACTTACATGTGATCTGATATGATTCAAACAACAGTCTTTTAATGTCATTTTTTACAGATACCCTGAAAATTCTCTTGAATCAAAAACCAGTTTATGTACTCTTCTATATCCATTTATTAACACAACAGATCTACTTACCTATTCTGCCTTTCTCTACAAAGCCATTTAGTGATGTTTAGAAAATGATGAGAATTTTATTTCTAGAAAAATAACCTTTTTTCTTGTGTTCCCCACAGTTCATGCTTTGAGCCAAAACCTACCCTTTGATAACCACAACAGCAGCACTGGGAGGAATTGCCAGATAACTGACAGCAGAACTTCCCACTCTTAGTTTGTTGTAAAAATGCTTATAAAGCATCAGGGAGATGGGTAGGAGAAGATGGGCAGAGAATGTTTGAGCAAGTTTCTTGGATGCCAGGCTAGGAGACTGGAGAAAGCATGCACCTGCCATATATCTTATCCATTTCACTAAAATGATATTCAAAATCAGGCAATGCTGATCTTCCCAGAATTGAAATCATAAATAAAAAGAACTTCCAGCTAAACTAATTATTATCACACTACAGTCTTTATATAATGTGCTATTTACAGGGAAATACAAAAAGTATTTCATTAATACAAGTACTACAAAGACTACATGTGATGCAGAACAGCTTTTACACTAGGCAAGGGTATGGAACCTGGAGTCAAAAATAATAGAGAATTTCCCCCACTTACCAGTGCAACAGGCGTTCATTGCAAAACAAACTGTGTTCACTCCTTTTGATTTCAATGCATTTTCTCTAGAAAGCTCCTAACAGAGTCACAGTCATTTTTCTATGCTCTCATCAGCAGCACATCAGCTTTGGTGAAGGAAAAGCAGTGAGCCGGCTGCAGAGTGGGAATGCAGAGAATTGGCAAGTGTAGAAAAAGTGGAGAAGCTACAAAAATTTATTTTCCAACAAAATAACTCTCCACAAGCTGTGTAAACTTTTCTTACTAAAACAAATACTCTAAAACACAAAGACTTTACATTTCCAGTGAAACTCACAGTAACATTTGCCTGTTTTTACTCTCCTGAAGTCTCAACAAAGAGCCAGCAGATTTATGCTTTCCCAGTTACCTGGGTCAGTAAATTCCCTCATATTTCCTGAATGCAATTTGGATTTTTAAATTTGGAGAGAGAATGTAGAAATAGACTTTTTGGGCTTTTGAGTAACCTTTGTTTTCTTCAGTAGATTCTCACATTTTGCTGCCTAACGTGCACACTCACACAAACGTCAATCCACCACCCACCCACTCACATACGCACCTCCAACATGTGTGCTCTGTTTACTGACAGTAGAACAAAAATTAAGCTGTGCCCATTGCAATATTGTGACCTGAACAGAGAAGAATAATTTATAGTGGTAAGTTCATTATCTTTACCTTAACTTTAAAATGCAAAATTTGGTTTGCAAGGACAGCGTAAGGTATAAGAGTTACACCCTTTATCTCAAGCACTCATCCATATTTACAATAAGTATAAGCTTTCTGCTACAGAAGAAAAAGTATTTAGATTGAACACTGTTACAGATTTCCTAAGTGAGGCTAGTTCCAGTTGCCAGTAATTCAAAAGCAAATCTGCTGACTTGGCATTAGGACTCTAAAACAGTGTGATCAAACTTATATAGTAAGAAGGTGTCTGCAGAAATAACATTTATAAACTGTATATACAGTACACAGTACCAGTACATAGAAAATAGATTTTGACTCCATGATCCCCTGTGTGTAAGGCAAGACTGAATTCTGTCTTCATACGGAGACCACCAGAGGTACAAGCAACAGAGTGGTGCTTAAATCAATATGCAAATCAAGTGCATACAAATCAAAAATCAGAGCAGACAAAAAGTTTTAGATTTTTTTATGTGCTGATCCAGGCTTGCTGAATACATGGGAAGTTATTAAACATCAAATGTACCTTTTTTTAAAAAACACTAACAACACCTTGATGGCAACAGATATTGTTCAAGTGGCAGCTACCAAAAACAGCTTGAAAAATGTCATAGTACAACATCAGGAACTCTTCAGTTGTACTACACTAATTCATATAGCACTAACCAAAAAAATAGTTATATGAATATTCTATTTCATGCTATTGCTATGCAAGCAACAGCAGTACAAATCAGCATACAGAAGGATACCATATGTTCTGCAAAGAAGAACCCAAGATATTTTCAAGGGGCATTGTTACAAGACTTCAAAGAAACACAAGACTGCCAGAGGCAAAAGTTACTGACGGATGTAAACATCCCTGTTCCACTCTCCTGCATCGTTACGTTTTTTCGATATCGCTTCCCCATCCTTGTCACAATATTGGTCCCTAGATTTATGACGACTGCGCTGTTTGTTGCATTCATTGTGGTCCTGCTCGCGGTCCCTTTCCTTTGAGCGATGCCGGGACTCTCTGTGTCTGTGTTCACTGATCCCATGGGACTCGTCTCTGTGATTATGATCCCTGTGAGAATCATAGTGGTCACCATGCTCATGTGAGTAGTCCTCCTTTGGCTCTACGTAAGCTGAATCTCTGCTGTCTTGTGTTTCTGAGTCAAAAGTTTCTTGCCTGTGAAGGCCTCTGACACCACTGCGGTGGTTGTGGTGCTGGCTGGAGGAAGAGCGGTGCTGGGATTTCTTGATGGGTTCGACCCGTGCTTCCTCTTCAATGTGGGAACCGCTGCGCTCAGGGACCGAATGGTCATTCCTCTGCTCTCCTTGAGATCCCTGCTACCAGAACCAGCAGTAAGGTCATAAGGTACACATTGAAAAGTTTCCCCAATATCAAATTCAACTAGAAAGTACCATGAAACCAATAAAATTTCAAGTACAAAAACAATCCACTTTGAATCTAAACTAGGAAAGAAACCATTAGTATTCCACTGTTACTGAAAACTCAGTATTATAATACAAACAATTCTTTTTACTCTCATCAGAATTTAGGGTGGCACTTGGGTTATTCTGTGGCACTTTCTCATTTCTTGTGATGTTTCAGACTACTCCAGTTAGCAGTAATTGTCACCACCCTCCAAAGAAAAAGAGAGCATGCAGAAACAGGACAAACTGCAGAAAAATTGAGAGGAAATATCATGCCAGGATAGGGCATATATAATTTGAGAGTTTACAGATGCATGTCTGGAAACAGCTGCTATGGGAAAGTGATTTTAGAGGGCTGAGGAGGTGGATTCCAGCAAAGAACCAAAGTACAAATCCTTGGCTCTTATAGAGTAAGTTTTTTTTTAAGGAAAAAAAATGCAATTGAATCAGGTATGAATAAAGTTTGTATTATGATACTAATAGTATCACTGACCTTCTGTTTTCTCAGCAATAATTTGATTTCTTCTTGGTTATGAAAAATTAAACATTGACCTCATAATTTTAAGAGCTCGAGAATACAGCCCATTGCCAAGAAAAGCAGGAGGAGAGTGATATTATCACATACAAAATTTCCTAACACACCACTGCTATTAAAGGACCGAAATAAAAATTACCAGGCAATAAACCTACTCTTCACTCGCATTAATGCTTTGAAATCACTGCAAAATGAACAAGTGGCATTATTTACCTCATTTGGGGATTTTATTACATTAACCTGCTATTATTGCCAAACCGCAGCTATGGACTTTTCAGGCTTAATTGCAAAAATTTTAATAGCAATATTGAAAATGAATTATGCTTCTCAAATCAGATGAAGAATGTCAAGACAAAATAATCTCTGCTGCCACAAAATTAATGTAGATTTTACCAGAGTTATACAGGCATTTGTTTGTGAGACTGTTCTCAATACCAAAGTTAGTCTTAAGTTTGACCTTCTATGTTCAGAATTGTCTAAAAATAAGGATTGCCCCCAGGGCAGTTCATGGACATATCTTCTTTCTCTCTTTCTGTTTTGTGGAAAAGAACTAGGGCAAGGAGGAAATTTTGTCCTTCAGCCACAGATCCCGGCAGGTGGGTTTCCTAGCAACCCAAAAAGTAAAATTACAGGAATTGGAAAGCAAAATAATCTGTATTTAATCGGAAACTTAAAAAAAGAATCATATTTCAATTCAGCAATTTGGTAAATTTGATGAATCTTAGATTTCCAAGACAACATTTTATAATGTGAACATCTGAGAGACAAAATGGGTTTCTAATTTGAAACAAACTGCATAGATATGAACAAGGTAACAGGAATAGCAGTCGAGTTTCTTTATTTGTTCTTGCTTTTGTGATTCTCAAGATGATTCCGATTTTCCAGAAAGGAATATAATTGTAAACAAGAATAGATCTGATCAAGGTGAAAGGGAATGACTCAACAGAGGTGAATTGTAAATTAAATTAAGAGAAAAGCAGAAGAGTCCAAAGCAGAAACATGCCTGCTTTGCATGTGTAAACACAACTTTCATCAGTTCATCACCACGACTGGTTTTAAGGCACATAAATGTAGTGTACATGTGAAAACCTATAGTTCTCATGTGATCAAATACAAGTACCTATACATAATCATGACCAATAGAATCAGTCACTGCTGTGGTTTGAGAACAAATGCAAAATTTGAACCTGCATTGGAAACACTGCTGCTCTTACAAGCTCAGATGCATCTTCTGTGCTATAATGAGCATATGTGAAGAAACATGATGAATAAATTTAGAACCAATACCTGCAATTTCAGAATAGTGTTAGGGCTGTTGGGATTTATGGGCAAATTCGTTGACACAAACTTCCATTAAATATTACAGCGACATTGAGCAGGTAAATGTCTGAGTCTAGATTAGAGTCTGCTTTCTTGGTTCATAACCTAATTCGGGCTCTGATTTGGAACAGATTCTTCAGTGCAGGAAATTTATGGCCCAATGTCATAATAGCCCATTTTTTTTTGTTTAAATTTTTTTTAAAATTGAGATAATCCTATTTCAGTACTCAATTTGTTCTTTCAAAGAAGTAGGGGTTCTTGAAAAGAAGTTTTTCAGTGTTGAAAGAGGACAGAGAAGCCTTTGTCCACTGAGTGGTTTTGCCTTGCTCCTTATTTCCAGTCGTCCTTGATCACTTGCACCATATGTGTGTGAGGTTGCTCCAGTCCTTTTGGAGTTAGCCAACTATTTCCACACAAGTTTGTTCCGAAGCTCTCCCTCAGACAGACACAAGGTCTTTGCCTAGGTCTTTGCCTATTTAATTTCAAACTGTCCCAGGACGCCCCACACCTTCAGGCACCTCGTGCCATGCAATGCACACAGGCAGCTTCATGCTGTAAAAATGCTACTCTGGCAGCTGGCAACACGAATAGCTCCTTACAATGTACACTGGGGACTTAAAAACCACAAACCCAAAATATGTTTCATGGCAAAGGGGCACTACATTGGCCCCAGGGAAGGATGACTCCAATGGTCGGCAGTGCAGACATAGCTCCCCCAGACCAAACAACTGGTGGCTTTTCCCTGTAGAGCAGTCCAGAAAAACAGCAAAGGCATAAACTTTAAATTCTCTAAATACAGAGTCTTAAAACTGTTGAAAGAATGGGTTCAGCCACCATCATTAAAAAATAGACCCACTCTGTGTCAAGGCAATGACAAGCTCAGGTTTGAGATGTCAGCTGAAGATGTATCGTAGGAAAATTAAACCAAAGGAACAGAAAAGTTTTATGCTCCATAAGGGAGCCCTGCTGATTCACACTTCTGCATTAGTAGACCTACAAACAAACTTTGAAACTGCAAATACACCCACATTTTTAGTCCTTAAAATAAAAATCTGTTAGTTTGTAAGGAGACAGCACAGCATTCAGAAAAGTGTTATTAAAACTCTGCATAGTTCCTCCAGAGAATGTGGTTAATACAATGAGTATGTGAGCTATAATCCACACTCAAAAAGAATAAAAAAACTTGAGCAAAATAATTTAGACGTTTACAAAGCAAAGAAAGTTTATCTAGCAAGACTGCACACAACAACACTGAATTTCATACTCAGAAATTCTTCCAGCTCACAATTTTTTCAAGGTGTTTCAGCTCTGAGGACAGAAAAAAAGGCAGAAATGAGCTATAGCTTACAATCTCTTTTCTTGCAACTGTGCCTGAAAGCAAGAGAAGGAGATGCCCTTCAAGATGGCTAAAAAAATTTTTCTTATAAAGAATAAACTTGTCAAGTCTGTGGTTTTCTAATGAGAAATAAATTATTTGACACAAAAACCTGTTTTGCAAAACCATAAAAAAAGAGCACAACTATTTGCATTTTAACTTGGGTGCAGATATATATTTTCCTTTGATTTTCTAAAAGGAGGTGTTTTTTAATCCAAAGTTATGAATTCTAACTTGTGTGTATGTATGTAATTTATGGGCATATATTGAGTTTAGGTAGAAATTTAGATGTAGTAAGCCTTTATTTGATCTAGGACAGATCTATTTTGTCCTCCTCTGTGTACTTCTCAGCCTTAAGGAGTCACTCACTACTTATAATACAGAGGTGAAGTAGTTTAAACACTTCATTTCATATCATGTAAAACACCTCCAAAGGAAAGCATCGCCTTATGCTGAACACCTCAATAAAAATTTTACAAACCAAAAGTCAAAGGAGAATAGGTACATCAATGCAGAGGCAGGAATAAAGCCTGCTTTTGCCAGCTCACTGGAGTGTCCTCTCTGTTCAGAACACAGAGCTTCTCTCAAGGTTTTTCTGCACAACGTGCAGTGCAGCGGGACTTGGATTTGACATAAGAGTTTGGCTTGAAGGAAGTCTGTACTTTTCACAGCAATGGCCAATGAATAAAAGAACAAAGGAAACACTGGAAGGGCCACTTTGACCTTGAGTCTTTACTAATATAATCAGTAATCCTCAACCTCTATAACTCTACAGCCTGTGGGAAGACTGGAACAGATTTCCCTCAAACATTTGTGGATCTGCCCTGTACATAACCCAGTTTGTCATGCAGGGCCTCTGGGGCCAGGATTTGCCTATTAGCCATAGTGTGCCCATCAGTCAGGAAGGTACCAGAGGCTGGAATGTGCACAGTCTCAGTCTTGCTTTATTTCTCTCATTGGATTACACATGGCCAGCTATAAAAATGCTTGTGGCTGGTACACATATTACTGGCACAGCAGTGTCCTGGGCACAATAAAACCTGAAGTATTCCATTTCACATCAACATATGTTTTAAGTCAGGCCAGCTTAGTCCTTGGAATCAAAACCAGCCCCCTAGTCAATACACAAACACATGCTACTATGGCTACAATAGCAATAACAGTGACATGCTTGCATTTGCCTTTTGTACTGAAAACGGGTGAATGTCTGCTGAAAAAGCTCTCGATCTATCAACAACTGGAAAACATACGCAGCATATTCTAGAATCAGCCTAACTCTGTGCTTTGGAAGGAGAAGAAGCTGACAGAAGAAAAATAAGAGATGGCATAAAAACTGTACCTGTAAATTAATATTTGGACCCGGGCTAATAGGAAGAGTGGCTGTTGCAAGTGTGCGAGTGAGAAGCTGGTTAGGAGGATTGCTGCTAGGTGGATGTGTGGCCTTCCAGTAGGCTTCCAGATAGTCAGCAAGGTGCTCACAAGCATCTTCAAGCTGGTTCTCATCAAGAATTACATCGAACATTTCCTGATAAAGAAAAGGTTTCAGTGAGAATAATGACCAGGTAAAGGGAGATCAGCTAGAGGCATTGATCATGCTTTCCATTAATCAAAAATGAACCACATTTTTAGTACTTGTATTAAGATATTTTACCTTGTTTGTTTGTTTTTCTGAATGCAGTTGATACAAAAGATGATAATCATAACTAGCATTAATACTACACTTGGACTTCCACATAGTAATGCACAGTCAAAGAAGACAGGAAGAAGTAGCTTGAACAAATCTTCAATACACAGAAAGAAGGGATAAATACTGAACAATTAACTATTGAAAAAATGGGATATCAAGAAAGGGATTCAGTCCCCTTGTAGAGTAACTAAGAGAAAACTAAGGTAAACTAAGATCAATGACTAACAACCATAAGAATACAGATCATTCAGTTTCCAAGTGTCATACAAATATTAGGTAAGAGATTAGTCACAGAGTCTAATTTTAGTCTCCTAAAGTTAGGAGGTGAGTTTTATCCATTTCCTCCCTGGTCAGAAGGCAGCTTTGAGGAACTATGCAGGCCTCCAACATTCTTCAGTGACTTCCTGGGCACCTGAGCATTGGTTAACTGAGATGCTTGAATTTAAATGATGAAGACATTCCCTTCACTCAGCTCTGTAACTATGGCAAATTATATCTGGAACTGAACTGGTTCTTTACCCATACACTTGGCAGCTGAGTACGCAGGCAGCAATGCATGCCAGACTTAAAACACAGTTGGGGTGTCATCACCTCCACTTTATAGGTGGAAATTGAGAGAATTTGCTTCACTGCACATCTGAAGAAGAACTGCAGAGCTGTCAGCTATGCAGTAGCACTCAGCTCTTTGGCAAAACCCTGACCAAGAACATTACTACTGGTGGGCCATGCTGACAGATGCCCCAGAGGAGCTCTAAACTGCCAGAGATAAAGGACAGCCACTAAGAGGATTCATTTTTCAACCAATAATTCCCTAAAACTTAGCAAGTGAAGCAAATGTTCAGTTTACTGAAGCACCGACTGTACCAGCACACATCCTAATAACTGATTGTGACTAGGACTCTTTTTCCCCTGCACCCTAAAGCAGAGCCCCAAGACCTCAGGAGGTGTTCTGCAAAAAGCAATAGTTAAATGTGGCCAGAAGAGGGCAAACATTCCCGAAAATTATGTAATTAACTTGAAAAGAAAGGCACCTTTCAGAGACAAGACATAAATTAACAGTAACTCACGGGTGGACACTGTGCCAGTTTATCAGCTGCTACCATCTGAACATTAAGGTGTTTGGCTTGAGATTTCCCTCGAGATTTTATCAACCTCTGTAAAACCTGTTAAAAATAAGACGTTAAAAAAAGTGAGCAGACTCAGATTTAATATACATATATAACCACTTAAAATGTTTACATTTGAAATTGCTCACATGAGCAGAGCAAATTCTTCATTTGATGACTTCAAGAGCATTTTCCATGTTCCTTCATCCAGGATGTGCTAATTTTCATTTACATCCAAATATCTCCTTTCCTTTACAAAGCACTAAAAAGTTCCACTCCTGTCTTTTTTCTGCTGCTTCTGGTTTTGTTTTATCATAAGTTGAATTTTTAAAATTGATTTCCTGAGTGCTCTTTCCACAAATTCTTTTTTCTTTTTCAAATGCCTCTCCACAAGGTATGTGCATTTTTTTACACACAGTGAAAGTGTATATTACCAGATGTTAAAGTTTTGCAATCAGTCTGATACTCTTTCACTGAAAATCATTCTTTCATTTCCATATTAGTTTGATTTAACAAATCATGAGCACTACTTATGTAATTGATACTGAAAGTGGAATTACAATGTAAAAACTCATTAGAGCTACAGCATCTTTTCTAAAATGGGTTTTGGTTAACACTAGAGGTCAAATACTTTTTTGATTATTAACGGTTCACTATCCAAAGGGAAGCAATAACTATATATAGCTCTGAATCTAAATGAGGACATGTGAATATCTGCATAAGGTCTCCGTCTTCCCCCGCCCCTGCCAAAAAAAAAAACCAAGCAAAAAAACAACAACTCAAAAAAACAGAAAGCACATGAAGGTATCTAAAATATTTACCTTAGGAGAAGAAATCTTTACGTATACTATAATGGGAGCCAGAGAGGTTTTGCTCAGTTGAGCTGGGTGATTAATGGTATCAGCATCAAGCACTACCAACTGCAGTGTCCTGGCCAATTCAAAAATCCTTTCAATTTCACTTTGAACTTCAGCTGCAAAGTAGAAAATTAGAAAAAATATTAAGAGATGATTAGCTTTAAGAAATGTGACAATATAGCAGACTGGTGTGTTGCTCCTTCTCTGGTTGCAGGAATTGTTATCCCTGCACATCCCTGGCACAGCAGGGTAATGAATTCAGCATTAATGAGGGTGTTTCATCCCTGCTTTGCTGCCCTTGCAGGCACTGCCTGCCTCTCTGCCTGACCAACTCCTGCTATTCCAGGATGCAGAGATACTGGTAACACCATCTTATATGACCCCAGACAATGCATGGAAGAAAAAGGGGCACGAATGCTTGCTGCATCAAACAGTAACCTGAATATGCCACGAGTCTGCTACATGTAAATAGTGTCAGCTCAGACTTCACCCTTACCCAGTAACCAGCTTGCTCAAGCTGGAGTGCCTGAGATAGGCATTAGGAAGTACTGATTACTGTATTAGTAGAAATTACTGTTTTCCCATTTACTTCAACTTATCAAAGATCTGGAAAACAGGTTTTGTTCTACTGGTCTCAGTATGGTACCATGTTAAGAATTTGGCTATTATGTGTAAAACACATTTATAAGAGAAAATAACTGAATAATCCAAATCATGCTATGGGATTCTCCTAACAATACCAGGAGCTGTGGAAAGCTGATTTTCCCAGAGGAAAAGAATCTTTTCTTCTGGTAGTCATGCTCCCAGCTCCTCGGGCCCTGTCTGATTGGCAGTACTTTCCAGGGCAAGCCTCTCCAAGACAGATGGGCTGCATCTGCTTTCACAAGTGGTGTAGAAACTGTCTTCATTCACCAATGAAACAAAACTACATCTTTAAAATGAAACTACATCTTTAAAACAAAACTTTCATCTTTAAAATGAAATCACATTTTCCTGCTCAAATCTTGACATTGGCTGATTTCACAGAGGAATTAGAGAAGCTGGGTGATTTATGAAAGTCTATAAAGGAAGTCACTGGGCCAGACAAGATTAATTTATATAGGTTTCCCTTTAAAGGTTGTGCATGCTTCATGAAGCAAAACTGGATTAGATATCTGCCCATTCAAACAAAATATTAGAAGACAACCAACAGAGACTTAAAGGTCAAGAAGAGGTACCAAAAATTTAATAGTGAGTTTCTTGAAATTACATTATTGACCTCTTAGCTATTATGCTGGCAAAAGCTTAACTTTTGCTTGAAAACACAACTTATCTGATGTGTCTAGAGAGAGAGTTTTCTATATCAAATGGTCTCTTTCAAGAGATATGATGAGATTGATTTTTTCTATCTTAGAATAGCAACTGAATAAATCAGATACTATAGGTTTTTAGAGGTTGCAAAATTTCTAAGAGAGAGCAAGGCATCCCAGCTAGTACTTTGGTTCCAAATCAATAGGTGATTGCTATGGTCATTTTATAAACAAAGTAACATCTACATGGTCATCAGAAAATCTATATATGATATCCTTTATTGGAGGAGGTGGACATTGGTTTGGATTAATTAGAGATTACTTCCAACTGTTTGTGATTATCTGCAGTTTTGGGTGAGCACATACAATCAGTCTTTTACAGCAGTGAACACTGTGAGATGTGCACGGTGTGGTATGGAAAACATCGATGCATGCTTTGCTGCTGGTCAAGAAAACCACTCTGGTCCCGCTGCAGTCTGAATTAGGACCACATTTTTTAAGACAGAAGTTCTGATGGTTCTTGACACATTCACAGTTATATTTTCCAAAACTTTGTTGCATAGAGATACTGCTGAAATTACTGAATACCACTGTCTCAGAGTTTTAGTAGAAGATAGTCAATAATCTACCCCTAATTTAAGTTCAAATGACAACTAGAATAAACGTATCAGAGATAATTTGTCACACTGTTCTGATGATGAGTTTAGATGCTTTCCTGCAATTTCAAACGAGACTCAACACTTCCGTCAGTATACCAATATTAGTTAATGTATTAAGACCATTTCAGATTGCTAAAAAACTCTTGTTCAAGACAATTTATAACCAGCAAAATCTGACTGCCATTTTATTGTAATTTTGTCTGGAAGCAGTATTTTCTACACTGCTTGCAGCACTTTGCCAGTAGAGAATACATCTCTGTGCACTAGATTTCCTGCTATACTTTCTGAAACGCCCTCTGCCAGGGCAGAGTTTACCTCAGGGTATGTTCTATTGTGAAACACACCCACAGCAGTAACTGCAGGTAACTATGGTCCTATGAACCAATAGTTTCCACTTGAGTCTGAAGATGGAGAGAGATCTTTTTTGCCAATTAAAATGTATTTCAGTACCTATTTTTCTTAACTTGAGTATAGGAGAAAAGTTCAAGGAACTCCACTGCATGACTGGTGAATGAATACATGTGCCTCTACCTCTTCAGTCAGGAATGGATGGGAAAATGCCACAGGGATAACTGAAGAGGTCCTGATCTCCTGTTCCTTAGAGTACTTCTTCAGCTTCTGGAAAAACTTTCACATTGCTTGAAATCTTGTTTGAATTCCAACTTTACAAGATTGTTGCAATTACATAATATTAGCTTCTCTTTTTAGATGACAAAGGCTTTATCCACTACTACTGCTTTGGTTTTCATTTTTCTTTAGCAATACCTCAAAAACCAAATTCTCTACCTGTAAAAATTCCTCCACAACAAGATATTCAACATGAATTATCTCTCAAACTTTTGCCCAAAGTAAGCAAATAACTCAAAAAGTCATGTGGGGATAATAAAACAAATGTCACTGGTAGTTAAAATAGGGAGCTGAGAACAGTGACAGTAGGGTTTCTTCAAAGCAGCACAGTAATAGCTTTGCAATGTTTCCACCTCCATGAATACCATCTATTTATAATAATGTCCCTTCTTATGTACTGGAGAGGCATAAGAGTGAAGTTATATCACTAAACTCCAATAAATTCTATTTGCCAATTATAATAAAAGGCATAAAAATAATTACAATTACTGTGATGATCATAATGAAATGCTGACAGCCCAGCTACAACATTTAAACCCAGAAATCAACTACCAAATTTTAAAGTGACCCTTACAATCTATTTAATATGGTCTCTTCGGTAACCAGAAAGTGAACATATTTTAAAAGACAGGAGCACTCAACTATTTATTCCATACAATAAGGAGTCAGCTCTAAGAAACAGTAAGTACACATCTCCCAGAGAATTTTAAATATAGCACATTTAAACTTACTTCCAAATATTAATTATCAATATCACTACTGTGCCTTGAATAGAAATTCTGTGCAATGAGAGGACAAGTAAATCACTTATCCCATTATGGGTGCAAATAATTATTCTTTACACCAATTGGACTTCACAAGTGAATTCCAAGAAAAAAATCTTTCCCAGTTCACTACAATAATCTCACCTAAAATACAGGCAAAGATACAACAACACTTTAACTCTGTCAATTCACTACTAACATGATGAACTGTGGTGGAACTTAGGGCCACTTATGTAATGCTATGGGACAGGAACAATCTCAGTGATACACAGCTGGAGAAACACAACCCTCCTGCAAACCTTGGCTCATCCATGGCAGCCAGGAGACACCAGGACACAGCTTGACAGAGCTTGACAGCAATTTGTTTCAGCAAGTCCCTGATGAAATAGCAGTTCCATGAGAGGGATGAGATGCACAGTGGACATGCATCTGGCCTGCAAAGGCCCAAGTGAAGCACAAACTGCTGCTTAGAGGCAGTAAAGAAATTTTGATCTTCACAAGGAGCAGTGAAATTCACATACTCTCAACTGAGCACAGGAGGACTTTTATAGCCTATTAAATTTGACCTTGTCTCCTGTCTGTGGAGACAAGGTGGCTCTGTTTGTTCATTGAAACAGATAGGTGAATTATGATTTCAACTGCAACAGGCACAGAGACAAAACATATTTTTTTAAACAGGGCTTCTGACATTACAGACATATGGAATGAAAGAACAGAACTCTCAATCTATGAATCTATGCAATACAAAATGATTAGCAACATCTTACCAACATCTTTGAAATAATTATATAAATTAAGGAGAACAGCTATCAGTAGGCATCATTTTTTATGCTAATGATTTTATACAAACATAATTACTTAAAAATAATTAACCACTAAACTCCATGACTATAATTAATGAGAAGTTTAAGGCAACATCAGGATTTCCATAATAAAGGAGAAATTTAAAAATGTAGTTTTTATCCCAGTGCCTTAAAACAACCAAGAAGGTCCTGCACCCAAATAAAAAACAAAAAAAAACCCAAACGTGCTATAAATGAGTAAAGGTCTAATCTGAAATCCAAGAAAACTTAAAAAGAAAAGAAAAAAAAAGGAAGTGATAATTATTGACCTGTGCCTGCACCAACCTCTAATGAGAACAAAATCATGAGCTTGACTGATAGAATTAAAATTTTAAATTTTCATTTGTGAGCATGTGTGTGCATACACATGCTTCATATTGAGTGAAAAATCACCAGTGTCTCTATGGGGTGCTGCTGTAAGCAGAATGCAGGGCACAGCAGGCTATCCCGGGCTGCTCCAGGGATCTGTGGTCCCTGGAAACAAAGCAACAAGGCCAAGACACTACCAGGGTGATCCAATAAGCTACAAGAGGTTTGAGCACAGCAGAGGAAGCTAAGAAGAAAGTCCACTCCATATGTGTTTGGCCTCTTTCATTTCACCCTTCTGTTTCCACCCCTGGAGCAGCAATGCTGCTCTGGGCAGGCAGGGAGCCAGCAGGGGCTTGGGCTGGGCAGTCTCCAGTGCTTCCCCAGGCAGGGAGGTTCAGTCCCCCAGTCTCCAGGCAGGATTGCATGACCCACCTCTCACCATGGGGTGTTCCAGTGCTGGGGAGCAGAATGCTTTGTGCCTCTGCTCCTGCATATCCAGCTAAGAAGCAAAAAAAAAAAAAAAATCTTGAAAAACATAAGCAAGAGGGAATACATGTTTTAGTTTAGCCCTCAGGCAACTGGTCAAAAGATGCCTAGATTGCAGGTGTTTTAATCAAATGTCTAACCTAAATGTAGTTTTGCGAATATACTTAGATTTCCCTGGCCTCCACCAAATAGCTTAGCCACAAGCTTGTTACGTAAAAAGGGGAGGGTGGGAGTGGGAGGATGACAATATTTTCCAGGAAAAGTGGCTGCATGTGTTACTCATGCCTAACAGATGGGGCTCTTGCAAGGGATAAGGCAGAAAGGAGAGAAGCATGTCTTGTCTGCTGCTCTGCCTGGAGCTCCTGTCTGGGCTCTGCTGAAGGGGAGCTGTGGGGTGAGGTGCTGCAGGAACGCAGGGTTTTCCTCCTCCTGCCTGCCGAGGCTGAGTTTAGGCAGAATTCAGATGGCTTTTAATGTACACACATGTCCAAGTGGTATCAACAGAAACGATGTCATGTTTGTAAACCTCAACAAAACCAAGATCTATTTATAATGCACTAACATCTCCTGAAATGCAGCACTGTAATTATGTGAAAATATAAAACAGATAGTGTCATTTAAAAATACTAAATGGCACATAAAGATGTCTACTTCCTGCCTCATTTCTCTGGGCTAGCAAAACAATAGCATTCATGGAATGATGCTTCTCATGCCAAGTTTAAACTGGAAGTAAATTTTAATGGCCTATAAATGGAAAAGACTGAAAGCAGCAGATTGCAGCAGTAACACAAGTGGCTGAGCACTGCACAAGGGTGGACTGAAATGACTGTGCCATGAAGAACCACAGCAGCTTCAGGAGGTGCCATGCATCAGCACAGCACTGCTCCTACCATCAGGCTCCCTCACACTCTCTTAAGGAGTAATTGCAATAGGAAAACTGAGCAAAGAAGCAGTCTAATATTTATTTTGTCAAGGGGATCAAGCGTCTCTGTATAGTTCAAAATGGATATCATCATGTCAGGCTGGCAATAACTTGGGTATCTGTGCATTATGCCTCCTTACTCAGTGCAGTGCTATAGTTTTTACAAATCTAGTCTGTACATAGGCACCAAGTAAGCATTCCCTTGCTCTGTTGGTTTTTATCAGAACAAACATAAATAAAAATGTTCAGCCTTTCTCACAGACAGGATGTGGAACTACTCCATCCCTGGCTATTCAACCCCTCCTGCTGATGGTGTGCCACTCACCAAACATTTGCGCATTCACTGAGTGGGAGAGATACTGACTCTGCAGCCTGATGCGCAGAGTGGGAGGCGAAACACATGGATTCCAGTTCCTTCTCCAGGGAAAGTTTAATTTATTATGCAAAGTGCGTAATACTTAGCAGGACCAACCAACAGCCATCCTAAAGGTGATCATAGCCCTGTCATGGTGATGGGAATGATGAGTCCATGCCTCTCTTAGCAGGGAACAGAACTGAACTCAGACTTGAGTTCTGGTTGAATAATGCAAACTTTTAGTCTTGGCTAAAATGGGGACACAGACACCAACTTTAATCAGTTCCACCAGCCAGGAGAAAGAAAAAAACCTGCATCAATTTAACCTACAGTATAGCTTTAAGGGATGCAAACTGTACTCTTAAACAAACATCTAACTAGCTAAAAATATTTTATTCACCTATCCAAGTATCCTGTCTATTACACAGATCTCCATAACCTTAGAAATTATTCTAACCCATTGCTACACTACTTTGTTTCAAGCACATGTTTTGTTTCAATGTAATTATCAATCACACATATTTCTGCATAGTATAATGAGAAAATATAAGAAAAAGTTGCTAAGAGTTATTTCTAATTTACAGAAATCAATAATTTTTTTCCCCATATACCCTTTAAAAACACTCAGGAAATTTCATTCAAATGCTTTGCCTATACTGTATCAAAACCTTATTTGCAAATTAGAATATTGGAAAGTTAGTAACAAACTTCTAATACACAACTACCTAAAGAATTCATAAGGGAAAGTCTGACCTTAGATGTCAAAAAAAGATTGTCCCAGCAGGATAAAAGAGTATTTTGGGACATGTCAGATTGATAAATTATAACAGGTTCACTAAAGTCATGCTACTCTTTCCCCATTTGTGGGCAAAAAGAAGGATAGCTACATCCTCATGAAAACCCAAAAGCTCTTAGCTGTTATTTTACTGCATCTGATTCAAGGCAGGTTCAGGTTTACCAGGTTAACATATTTAACACTGAGAGTGAGAGTTATGGGCATTTGTTATCTTGATATATAGTTATGGTCACAGCTATCTTGAATATAAAATTATAAAGGAACAATAAGGATTTTCCATTACACATTGAACATCTCCTTTATTTTCTTTGAACTATATTAGATCTCTGAGTGTTTGGGAAGGAAATGCACTCTTGGTTAGGTCCAAAGTTTGCATTCCTTTTCCTTGGCCTCTGTAAGTAATGAAGGATTTTTATGAGGCCTAGCTAGCACTCTTTTAAATTTATCTTTGATTTATAGTTGAGGAAGCCTTTAATGGAAACTTATCCTATAGCACAATTGTCATTAAATTACCAGACATGTAGACTACATAGTAATATCATATATATATATATAGTATAAAATAAACAGTATGTAAGTGTATATATATATATATATATGTATATATATGTATATATATATATATATATATATATACACATTTGTATCTATTAAATAAATAAATTGTTACCATAGTTTAGAGCATTCAATTGCCTTCTCACACAAATATCAAGGAAAAAAAACCCACAGGGCTGAAATTCGCACAGCTAATCCACAACTATCTCTTCAAGCATTTATATTTCATTTTCAGAAGACAAAACTTTATGGTATCAACCTAATGATGTGAATGGAAGCTCTATACACTCTTTAGAGAAAGCCTTCCAAAGGTAGATGCTCAATTGCACATGCAAACAGGCATGTAATGCCTGACAGGTTACTGCATATGCACATGGAAAGCAGATAAACACTCCCAGGCATGTGATGGCAATCAATTTACCATAAAGACAATGACACATTTTACAAACACGGTCACACGTCTCTGTTAGAACACGCAGATTAGCTGCACACATCTCAGAAATACACAATAATACCTAATCTGTAGTGTTTACTTGTCAATGTCAACTTTATTTTTAGAATTACTTGAAAATAAATAAGGAAAACCAGCAAGATTTTCTAAAAGAAAGACTTAGCAACATAGTACAGGTTTGGCTTTTGTCTGTGAGCCAGATGCAAGAAACACACGGTGGTTCTGTCAGGTACAATAAAGCACTGAACACAAAACAGCAGGAAAAGTAATTTGCAAGCTTGTATACATACCTAAAACATCTGGAAAGGGAGAGCATTAATGAAGCAAAGAATGGAAAAAGCCAACACAATCAGGTTTTGTACAAAGCATACAGCATGAGGCAAGGTTATAACAAATGTAACATACACAGAAAAAGGTTTGGGCTCTTTTGACAAAGAAATGCAGCAGAAGCACAAAGCTGGTTCAGTTTCTGCAAATGGCTTGCATTCATATAAAGAATTAACTAAGCCAATTGGGGCTGATTTTCAGATGATTAAGATTTAACCACATAATGTACATTCTTGGAGAAAAAATCTGTTCAAAACTGCAGATTTCTTCTAGGCTTTTAAAGAAATTTGCCCTTTCCTTCAATTTAGTTCTAACATCTCGTGTGTTAAAACATGTAGCAGTATTGACAAGCAAACATTTCCCTTTACGTCAAAACAAGCTTAATTAGAGTGTCCAGTTTCAAACTGGGACAGATAGGAACAAGACTGTACTATCTACCCAAATCTTTATGAGCCAGATACTATTTTAAAAAAGTTCTCGAGAACATTAATTTTATACTAAATATTCAGTAGCAGCATTGGTTTCCAATAAGTCAAATCCCAAGCCTATTTTTAACTGATTCCATTACAAAAGCAAACTGTCAGTCGATAGGTGTGTAGCATTATAAGCTGATTGAGACTCCCTTATAATCCTGTAAATCCAGTTCTTTGTGGCTATTCCTATTTCTGATTATCACATTGTTGGTGTATGTCTCTTTGAAATTAATTCTGGTTTGTCTATTAAATCATTCCAAACAATGGTGCTCACTTCACTGTTTTCTGTGCTATGTACAACAATGCAGACCTGTATTGGGTGATAAGGTAAGAGTTCTCAGAAAGAGGTACATTTATTTCCAAGAGAAAAGTATTTGATATTAATATATCACGCACAGAACCTTTTTACTACCTTAAGTAATTGATGAAACACTTATTAAAATAATAGAAACCAACAAAGTATTTTCAGAAGTCTAAGAAATAGCCTTCTCTGCTGCAGTTACAACTGCTGCTCACAAACATGGTCATAAGTGAAGGGTAGATCAGTGGCCTGGCTGCATGAGGTACCACAGTTAGATGAGTAAAAAATCTGGAAGGAAGGAGGAATTTAGTTTAACAAAAAGCAGTTCTGGGGAGCTGTATTTGCTGTATATATATAGCAAATATGTATATATATATATTCATAAAAGCATTTTTAAGTTGTACCAGATGTAGGAATTAATCACACAGATCTCTGTCCACATGCCAATGACTGTTCAAGGAGAAGCGAGCAACCCATCTCCCCACATCTCACATTTGTTCAGTCAGGAAGCCCTTTCAGAGCAAACTAAAACAAACTAAAACAAATACTGTTTTTCCTTAACAAGAACAAAAATTTTGTCATAAATACCAGTTTTAAATACCTAGACCAGAACTAAGTAATTATAGATAGTCTGGACAAAAACAAACAAATAAACAAACAAACAAAGCAACAAAAACATCCAGCACAAATTCAGAATTTAGTATTTGCTGAAATTCAAGGGATTTTTTTCTTTGCCCCCCCAGTGATTTAGGGAAACTACCCTATTATTTTCATTTTATAGAAGGGAAAATGTAGGTAGAGAAAAAAAATCCTTTTCCAGGACTCTGAGAAGACCTGCAACAGATACTAGAAAAGAACTGATGTGATCTGAGTCCTGTTTTAATTATATATCTATAAAACTTGTGGTAGTGGAGAATACTATTGGCTGCAAAGCTAATGTTAATCAATTATGAAATGCCAAAATAGCTCCCCTAAACCAAATCTTTTGCGATCTATATTTTAAGAGAGCACATTCAGGAACACACAATTTAGCTGTTCTTTTAGGGCTGCTGTCTCATTCAGTATGCAGCTCCATACGCTGTCAACTGATATGAAGCCATTAAATAATTTACTTTCTCTTCATTGTCAAATACGTGTTTCACATCTCATTTAGAACACATGGCTCTAATCTTTCTCTGAAAACAGAATGCATAAAATATTTATGGGCTATTTTGTGGAGCTTACTTAAGTGGTATATGCAAAAAAAATAGCTATTTTTCTCTTTGAAACATCCCAGTTAGGTGAGAAGCTGGAATTATTAATATATTCCAAAGAGAAAATTGAATTACAAAGAATAATCACAAGTTATGAATAATTCTGGAGGGTTAATTTTCAGAAATGTCTGATTCTTCAGAGTAATTACCAGTAAAATTTATATTCAGAATAGAAATGCAGGAAATCCTGATTCCTGGGGATTCTTTTTTCCAAAATGGAACATAACCTTGAAGCTTCTTTTAGAAGTCAGTACTAAGACTCAGGACATTCCTGATGCTGCTCTGTACTGTCAGTACAGACTGTCAGTACAGACGATCAGTACTGATCTGAGAGAAGGAAAACATTCTTTGAGCTAGGCTGGGAATGAAAAGAATACTTCCCCAGTTAAATGCATGCAAAGAGTAGAGCCTAAAATAAGAGAACCTCTGGGGAATGAGGATCCACAAGGCTGATATTTTACAAGCTCCCAACAGGAGTTCCAGTACTACATAAAGAACTGCCTGCTTTCCATCCCCCTTCTCCAAGTCCACGCATTACCATGCAACATGCTGATTTTGGTGGCACGCACTATTATTTGACAGGTCCAAAGCTTGAACTTCTGTTTCAGCTTCAACACTCAGTCTTTCTACAGAAGATGCCTGAAGCATACAAAGAACCCTGGGAAAGAATAGCCATCTTCATAAAGTCTGTAAATAACTAATCCAGTACTGTACAGCAGTTCTGTGTCAGAAGCAGCAAAAGCCACTACTGCACTGGGGCAATTGCACTGCCTCCAATTTCCCACACTGTTTTATACATTTTTCAAGCATATTAAGGCAGAGGACTGGTAGAAAGGTAGTCTGTAAATATTTGATCAAAGACTGGATCACAGCATACATAACCTAAAGATACTAAAATTCTGCACAGTTAGCCTTCTTATTATCACTTCCTGACCTTTATTTTGCACTGTTTGAATTTGTAAAACTAATAATATTCTTTTAACAGGATATTTTGTTGATTTATAGCAAATTCTTCACACAAACTGAAAAAAAAAACTTCCACTATATAGTGATATATATATATAGTGATATTACCACTCACCTCTTCTACTTCAGCCAACTAAATACTGACAGCAGTGGTGTGTTGTCACCTACCAGCAGACTACAATGATGTTTTGTGATTCTGACTCTTATTTCTGCCTTGAGGTACATTGCAGATAGGCAAGGAAACAGGCTGTAACATGCGTGTACTTCTTTTCTTTTGCCTTCTGCAAGGCTTTTCCACTGCCTTACAAAAGCAGTTACATTTTCTGATTCCAGCTTATTTTACTTTATCTCAGTTTTCCTCCCAACACTGCTGCCACATCACTTCCCTCCCTGACTTCCTGTCTGACTCCTGTCCTCCCATGGTTTATCCCATGCCTGGAGCACTGACCTGGAGGTGCTTTATCAGTGAGTTTGACTATCCCAACTTCTTCTCCGTAAGTCCAACCTTTTCCATAATGGATTTTCACTACTTGCCTTTCTGCCTTAGCCTGGCCAGCCATCTATTCCTCCAGGTGAACATCTTTCAAGTAGATGACTTTTTATTCCATTCTCCATGCTGCACAGCAAAGGAGGGACTTCAAATTGAAAGACGAGCATCTTTTCATCTCAGTGCTGCTTGGCTGCCCTAACTCAGTCTGCTGGGAGCAGGTTCTGCTCAGCATCATTGCTGGACCTTGCCAAGGAAAGCTGAGTCTTCAAGCTATTCAGATGCAAAACTTGGCATGTGTTAATAGCAGCTGCTAATTATTTGGTCAAGTTTTCTCATTAGTTTTATAAAATTGCCCAGAAACATGTAACTGAAATTTTATTCAGCTCACTACCAAATTTCAAAACCCTGCTAAGATTACTAGAACAATGGAAGTATTACAGCTTCAGAATTAAAAGGGTTTGAGAATATTTTAGCATAAAAAATTAAATTTTCCCTAACTTTATGCTAGAATGACCCAGTTGCTCTGGTCAAGGATCTTCAAAGTTATTTAATAAATCACTTAATTTTTAGAACAATTATACGCAACTGAAAACCTGATATGTAGCAGGAAATGTTAGTTAATAACAGGCCTGCTACAAAAACTAGAGAGATACATCTACCTATCTATCCACATATTTGCATACAAACACTGTCATCTTTTGGGTGTACCAACATGAGGTTCTGTCAGAACTCCCATTTTAAATACCTCCATCTAAAGAAGTACCTTGACACAAAGACAAAATGTTGACGCTCTCAAAAGAGAGCATTTATCTCAAGTAGAGTTCTACATGAGATAAAGGTGTACAAGATTGGGCAGCATTTAATTTTTATTGATTTTTTTCCTGTACAGAATTTTGTGTGAGGTGACTCACTTGGAAGTTATAGACTACTTTCAAGCAAAAATTCACAGCTTTCCATATAGCTGAAAACAAAGGTTTTATGAAACAAATTTTCAAGAAAGATAAGTCAAAATTTTTAAGGTGGAGAAGCTTATTCTAAAAAGTACTACTATATTAGGCAAATGTTAAATATTCAGTCACAGTTCAGGTATTGTTGGAAATATTTTTGTTGCAAAACTGAAAAGAACTTATTTAATAGAATGAATGGAACTATTTTCTGGTTCCACAAAATTTGCAATTTTTCAAGATGCAATGGTGTGTTCAGGGGAAACCAATATCTCTCAAAGGTTACTAAGAGGAACCTGCAGCTCTGAAAAGGCACAAACATGACTGAGTATTCACCTGGGATGTGGCAAGTTCCCCTTTTTTTGGTATTTGATGGGGGGAATTGCGTAGGATTTATTATGGGATTTTGTCTCGTATCTCATTCAAGCCTTATACAAGTATGTAGATGTAGACTCCTGGCAGGATTCATCTTAGAATCACAGAATGGTTTGTACTGGAAGGGACCTTTAAGGTCATGTAGCTCCAGTCCCCTGCCATGGACAGGGAACCTTTCCCTAGACCTCTTGGCTATTTCCAGGTGTCTCTACACAGGGAATGCACCAGTGACAGCAGCAGAGTCCTGGATACATCTCACTCTAGAGGAAAGGCAAAGGCAGTCAGGAATTAAGACTTCAAAATTATCACCTTTTCGTCCTAATTCTATGGACACATTGGATGGGAAGCTCCAGTGCAGCCACCTGTACTGTAAATGGCTACATTAAATTACAAACTTCCCAGCTAAGCTTCTTTTTGTTTCTGGGTAATAAATATTTAATTGTTGATACAACTGGACAAGCTTCAGCACAAAAAGACTCATGCAAGATGACAGAAATTTAGGCTATGAATGTAGCTGTATAGTTTTTTAAAAACATCTCTCTTTTTGCATCCTTCCTATTTTTGTACCAACCTTATGATTAGTTAAAACTGATACAAAATTAATGAAATCTGTACTTCAATAATTTTTCCCAGGCTTCATGTCAGTAGCTATCACTAGTAATCTTATTAAAATAATGCATAATATCAATAATACTCATGTAATTCCAAGTATTTAACCAGAAGAACATGTTTTCTGATTTTATGTGGATGGCTGCCTCTCCCCACTGAGGCCAACAGCAAAACATGAAAACCGCGCACAAGCAGAATAAACCAAAATCAGCACTATAGGAAGTTTACCTGACAGTGATTTTAAAATGATTTTTAGTGACAGATTTCTGAATTATGGGAACTGCAATTTTCCCACAGCAGAGAGAAGGCTATTTTTAGCTTACACATATGAAATGAGAGTAGCATACTTCACAGGCAATTTGTAGATAGCATCATTTCAGGTACTTACCTAGGCTCGATCTCGTGTTAGACCGTTCTATGATCGCGTGCTTACTGGGATTGTTTAATACTGAGCGTTTGGCAAGCGAGATGTCTGCTGTGACTCGTGTAATTGATATACTGCAAAATAAATACAGCAAAATAGCACTGAATGTTATTGATCTTTCAGGGATGTGGGGAAAAGTCTCATTTAACACTAGAAGATGGCTAAGACTATAGGAGAACAAGTTCTCAGCGGCTTACAGTATGCTTAACCCAATGTGAACAGAGAAAAAACTTTTTCTAACTTAATACTGCTACAATGACTACTGATAAGTCATCCTCCTACACGTGCCTGGGGACAGGGGAGGCAGGATTAGGTTAGGGATTGCTGCAGAAGAAGGGACTTCCCTGGGGTCTCCAGGTCTGGTGAGGGTCTGACATTTCACCAGTATCCCCAGTATGAACAGGCTGGTTTCTCCTTTCCCTGACTTCTTGAATGGTACTGAATGACAACCTGGCTTACTTTAGCCACACCTGTAAGACATGTATGGATATGCAGAATTAAATGGTAAAGGTAAGACTTATTAGGGAAATGAGTCTAGCAATAAAACTCAATGGGCTTTTTGTTTGTTTTGGATTGGGGTTTTTTGGCTTTTTTATTGTTCAGGTTACTAGCATGTGTTTTTCTAACAGAATGCAAGACCTACCTATAATTTTCCAGAAAGATTCATGCTAGCAATGAAATACTAGCACCTAAAAATAGGAACTTAGAGAAGCACATACTTGAAAAGCCTACGTTGACTATCTGGCAGGCTCAGTTTTGTGTTTATGAGAAAAGATGAGCCAAGAAAGAAGTGGTTGCTTTCAGGTTTATGCACTGACCTGCTCCATAACCTTCTCCATATTCTTTTTCCTAGGAAAACAGTTACCTTGGTTTATTTTGCTTTACAGGGTCAAAATGCACCCTTAAGTTCGTTTTAAAACTCTCTGGTCTGATAAGGTTAAGAGGTCACATTTTTCCAGTGCTGAGAGTGAAATCAGACTGATGATATTCTCTTGTTCTTCCTTGTAGGATTTTGCTTGCAATTTAAAAGAGGAAATGGATTTGCTAAGAAGTGAGAGGGCTCCTCTCTAGCAAGCACAGTCAGATGCTGTTTGTTCATCTGAAATGTAATCCAATAGGCCATTTCCCAATTAAGTCAACATGTGTATGCAGTTATCTAAAAAATGTCACAGAGCCAGAAGTTAATATGAAAAATCAGAATTATGTGCACAATACTGATTAGTAATATAATTTTAGAAATCATGGGGTGATTGAACTTAAACTAAAAGCATAACCAAAGGTTGTGATTTCTGGCATAGCTCCTTACAGATAATGACATTTGTCTTAAAATTAAAACAAACATGTATATTGGGATACTTGCTAGTTTTCTCTATTTGCTAATGGAAGGACAGTGCAAACTTTTACAGATTTTTGGTTTTTTGTGTTGATTTGGATTCTTTTCTGCCAGTCTTTCTTCCTACAGGCAATAGTAAATTTTTGCCTTTTAAAATAAAATTATGATATACTGAACAATGCCAGATTTATCAGTCTGTCTATGAAAAAAAAATATTTTTCATTTTAAGACATTATACAATATTTCTGAGGACATTTTCATGTCTTTGAGAAACGTCACATCAGAAAGACCAAGTCAGCCCTCAAAACAAAGGGTGTGTATATTCATATTGCAAAACAATTGCAATGAGAGCAGGGACAACATTGAGGCAGCTCAAAGCAGTAGCATGAAACTGAGAATCTCTGATGCAAATTTGTTCAGGACCTTAAGTAACGATTCCAGTAGCTACTGAAGTTGGGATGCTTCAAATCTGCTACTAAAGACACAAATTTTGTTTGGAATATTTGTGGATTCACCATGCCACAGTTGGATCTACAACTGAAAATCTGACATTTTCTAAAATATTTAGACATAAAGATGTAATAATTTTCTTCTGCTTGCAACAAATGTTAACTTCCAATTCTGAAGGTGTGTTATGTAGGGTTTGACAATCCTGACTAATATAAAGAGGCATTACTAAAGTGGTTAGATATTGACATCATTATTCTGACTGAGAAAATCCACCAGCTTAAACCACAATGTGTGCTGTTTTAAAGAACTGAAGCTTCCTCTTCAAAGTTTTGACAGCAGCAGGACACACAGAAGAGTGTTATGGATCTGACCACTTCCAAACTAAATAGAACATGCCTTGAAGTTACAGATTTTATTATAAGACCTTCCTGTTTTCACAATTTTTCCTCACAATGTAAACCGATTAGGACATATTAGTCTGGAGCTTGATCTAATACCAATATAGTCATGTCTGGAGAATGCAGCTCATGTCTCTGCTCCATGGGTTTCTGATGTTGGACTTATAGACTGCTTTTAGAGACAGAATATAATTTGAAATCTGTACCACTCTAATGTCTGAAGGCTCAAATACAATTCCCATTGTGTTACAGACAAGTGTGCTGCAGCCACTCGGATCAGAACACAGGGAGTGCAGCCAGTGTGCTGCCAAGGGCGACTGGATTTCAGCAAGGTAGGGCACTGCCCCACACCCTCATCCCACTCCTTTTGAAACTTCCCACTATAGAGCCCAGCTTGTCAAACCAATCTCCTGTCTTGGGGGATCAAAAGTTTGACAATCCCATACACCAGATAGTCTGAATCTCATATCACTCTTTCCAAGCTGGTTGCCAAGTGAGGAAGTAGAGCTGAGAAGGAACCTCAGCTCTTGCCAGTTTCCTCAAAACCTGGGAAGCATTGATGAGATATCACTTGAAAAATATTAAAAATCACTTTTTAATCTGTAGATAAATACCTAGCAATTTGGAGTGTGAATGTCACAGCCATCAAGAAGAAGACATCCTTTTTTCCACTCTCAACAAATATATGCCCCAGAACACTTCCCACTTCAACACAACCTCTGCATGCTCTGTCAAGGAAACTTCCAATCCAGACTTACAGTCCACTGATCAAGGAATTAGTTGTCATTCCTAATTTTGTCCAAAGTTATTATTTCTTAAAAACCTGGTAATACCCAAATGAAACCTGAAGTATATTTGCATTGCAAAGTACTTACCGCCCTTCGAATCTATGTTTTAAAAAATCAAATAATGCTTTTTGCATCATATCTGTTACCTAGAATGAAAAAAAAACAACAAATGAATAATTGCATAGGAAATTCATAATAATGAATGCTAAGAATATTATAGAATAAAGCTGACAGTAAATCTCATATCTGAACAATGGGATTGGAATGAAATTTATTCTTAATCTTAATTCTGAGATGAAGTAAAATAAAAAATAAGCAGCTATTCAGTAGGAGTAAAAACTGTCTGATGTTTGCTTATGTTATAAATTATCAAATACAAAGGAAGCACAGCATTTTGTAACAACTATTTACGACAATCAGTTACCTCATATCCCTTCAGAGAAGGCCCCACTAAAACTACTGGTCTCATAGAAGGCACTACATCATAGGGAGGGATGTGCTCTGTCTGCAAAACAGAAAAAGTTTTCAGCATCACAACACTTAGAGAAAGTGTTATACACTCTTAAATATTGGGAACTCTGAATTTCCAGTAATGTCACAGAAATCTCAGATTCATTAACTTTTCCCAGGAACTGCTAGCATAAGACAAGGACATAAGAGGTTCAGGGAGTTCTGTTGAAAAAACTTTCTTTGACTTTAGGGTTTCCTACTGTTTTCATATATACTTTGGATAGTTAAAAACTCTTATTATGGGTCATGCACATTTCCCACTGCATAATTCCTAACAGGTAAATTGAAAAGGTTATTTCCAACAACTAATGAATTGAAATGGTTAATTCTACAGCTGTTTCTGTTTTCAACAGAAATTTTATAAAGGAAATTATGAAAGAGAAAACTAAAACAAAAGGGGATGAGAAAATGCATCTTTTTTTTTTAATGTTCAGATCTGCCCACTCCTTGGAAAAACATTGTGACATCACTGCAAATTCTCATGGCAGCTCTCAGTGTGACGTCCACATTTGCACCCACAATTCAAATACAAATTAAATCAAAATAATGACTGATCAAGTTAGTATTTCTAGAAAATTATCATAAGCAAAGCTTGGGATAGCATTTCTTCCACTTTGGGAAGTTCTTGTCACCACCCAAGAATGGATTCTGGCAGTACCATGCTTACCAAAATACTAACTGATGTATCAAGCACAATTTCTAAAAAAGTATTCTTGCATACACAGATAAAATAGATTACTTCCTTTTTAAGTGTTGCAAAAATTTGATATTGTTATCACAATACAATACAAAAAAAAATAAACAGTTAAGTTTGGTATTTTTTTCTTTTTTTAGTAAGTGGCTGTTCAATATATATCACCATGAATGAATGGGGTCTAATCAGAAAGAGGTTTTTGTTCGTAAGGAAAGTTTTGGTTTATCTTTGTCTTGGGTATAAAAGATTGAAATCCAAACCCAGAAATGTGTGGGTGTTACAGAAAAAGAAATACCAGATCTATTTTTCAAATGCTTACATAGTATAAATACATCAGTCAAGATCACAGAATACAGACATTGTTCATTGTTCCAGAACTCAATGTATCCCAAGGTGTTTCACAATAACATTAAAATAAATATATACATTCCAAAACACAAACCCACAAAGACAGACATTTATAGTGACAGCACACAATGCTACACAAGCAGCAGTCTAAAGCAGTCTAAAACACAGAAAATATTTTTGTGAATGTCCCTCAATGTGATTAATTTTTTGTTACCTGTAGTTTCACAAGATAATTAATAACATGAGAATGAAGACCAGTGCCCAAGGCATCATAAGCATGTGAAATGAATTTATTTTTCACAGTACAGAATCTGACTCAACACATTTCAAAGTGAACCCCTGCAATTAGGCTGGGCCTGTATCCAAAAGCAGTCCTTAACTGTTCTTGCTAACATTTTAAGTAATCTGATAAGCATATTTGAGACAGATTCGAAGAAAAATTCATTACAGTTGTGTGAGTGCTTTTAGCATGAGTGCCCTGATGCAACAGATCTTTGTCTTAATGTGGCTGACTTAACAAAAGGCATTCATGCTAGAAGTTAACCAGCTATTTGGCAATCAGGGCAAGCACAGAAATTACCTTATTTGATGGAATATGGGGTATTTTTAAAATCTGTTCTGGTGCAATGGGCATTTTTTCTCAAATTTTTACAGCTTGAAATAATGAAACTGTCAGCAGGAAATTGAGTAGAAGTTATCTAATGGAAGCATTAAAGTTCTTTAATTTAGCAGTAGAGAATCTAGTATTTTCTAAGAGACTGGTACTGAACTATACAGCTTTCACTGCACATTCAAGTTCAAATATGAACTTGAATATGGCAGATTTGAATATATGGCCTTTACTCAGTGGTTTGACTCTGTAGGTTACTTTGGGATGGCCATCCAGTACACAATGCAAATGTCAGTATTACAAACCCCACTAACACTAGTAATGGTTCTGATATGGAAGAAAAGAGGCACCACGGAGTCAAAGAAAGATGTGGGACTAACCCTCTTCCAGGTCTAAGGTTGTTCATTTGGAAGCTGCAGCTTTGGAAGATGCTTATGCAGACAGCATCCAATACATGTCAGCATGTATTATCCAATTAAAAATATGATGAAGTAAGAAATTACTCAGAAGTAAGAACCCGCTGTTGATTTCTACCCCAGGCTTAACAGACCAAACTGGAGCCAACAGCAGTGACTTCAGAAATGAGTAGGATTCAATACTATGTAAAAGAGTTCAAGAAAAGAGAGACAGAAACAAAGATCTACTTATTAAACACGAGAGCATCCACAGCAGGGACAACAATGTCACTTGGTACTGTGTAAGCACTATAACAGTCAGTTATTACCTGTAGATTTAAGTGAGTGGTTAAGACCAAATGAATGAGAGCTATGAAGACTACAGATTTTAAAACAAAACCGTCAAAATGTGGTATTTCACTACATAGTTTGGCTGCTACCTAATGTCTTGCTAACTTACTCCAGCAAAGGCCCTAGAAACCTATTGCAGCTTTTTGCAACAGGATGTCAATTGCATAATTCTGTAGTTATCTAGGTTATCTATGGAGAAACATAGGCTCTCCTGGGAACCACCAGTACCACTTCCAATAGCTGAGATACTAAAAAAGTCTCACTGATGGATGGCAAGAACATTTGACTGGTAATTTATACATAACAACAGGAAAAACCTGAAGTAAACTGTCAAAACAAGTCTGAGGTTTTCCACTGGTCTTGTGCACTTGCAGACTTTGCACCTAGTGAATTAGAAGCTTAAGTATAGACTAAATTAAAAATACAATGAATTTGACAATTTGTTTCCAAAGTCCAAACTGAGTATCTGATAGATTCCAATAATGATTTCAACAGACTGAGTAATAAAGAAAAAAAAAAAACAAACCTTGAGAAATATATAGAAAGAATAAACATGCACTAGAGAGGTGCATTACAATGCTAGAAATAATTTTCTCAAACATTTTAGAAGTGTGTCCTTTTATTCCATCAAAAAGGAAAAGTACGTAGCAGAGTTTCACAGACACACAGAACTTTTGCCTGTTTTCCTGTAATGAATCCACTATTAGCTCAACACATCTCTTCATCCTTAATTCTAGAATAGCTGCATTGTTAATCTGGAGTAATAATGCTAATGATGCCAGTGGCAGGATAAACACAGGCGATGTCGATATAAACTTACCGATTTCTGCTTCTGCTTAGCTACAGCAGCATGGAAAAGAAACAAAGAACAACAAAGCATGCGTGTTATTGGCTTGTCAAAGGACGCAGACAGTTAACAGGACTAGAAATGCGACGCAGTGCAGGTGAGCAGGTGCACAGATGGGAGCTTGGAAGTTGGTGTTACCTTCTTAAAGAAGGGCATTCTTTTCTCTTTGGAGTGGGGTGATGTTACACTGTTTGCACTGGGTTTGGGGGAGCGATGGTTTGCTGGAATATCATTTTCTTCTGCATCTAAGCCAGTGGCATCTATGTCTACAGCTATATACAGACAAACAATTCAGAATTATCAGATGACAGGGAAAGTAAAGATAGGTTAAAAAGGAAATTACAGGTAAACAGAAATAAAACTGTCCAGAGTAATAAATAAAGAAATAAATAAAAATTAAAATTTGACCATGAGAAAAAAAACCACAATAAAACAAAGGGAAAAATGTAAAGGTGCAGTTCTTTAGGATTAAAAGACAGAACGTGATCTGTAACAGCTACTGTAATATTTATAAAATAGACCAATGGCCAAGTTTGTTCTTGTTACACCAGTGTAAATCCAAAATATTCAATTGAATAGGTAAGACTTCCACCAATGTAGACAACAGAACTTGGTCAACAAATCCAATAATTTGGATTATTTTATAGCAATGAACACTACATGAAAATGGGTATCATCAATTGAAATTTGAAATGTTACTACTGTGTCAATGGGAAATGAAGAATTAGAAGAAAAATCACTTTTGATGACAAAATCAGCCAGATATTGGTACAGTTTTAGCTACATTTATCTCAGGATGGACTATAATTGGCATTTTTAATATTTTAAATAAAAATGCATTGTACTCATAAGATACATTTATTAAGAGTATCTAAACATAGATCTACTAATAATGAAAATTAAAAAGAACGGATAGCAGAAGAAAGGAAATGATCCCAGCTTAGCTCAGAGTCATGAATCTTATTTAAAGAGTCAGGATGTAGGCAGGGTAAAATGGAAGAGAATACAATAAACCACTGCTGTTCAATCTCTACCCCAAAAGAATATATAACAAAAAATGCTTATACCATAACCACAAATTATTTACCCTTTTCAGCAAGTAAGTAATAACAGTTTCAACTGGAATCCTGACAGACTCAGTAATAAATACACTTTCAAAATGCAAAGCCGTATTATCCTGAATGCTGAGTAGAACAGGTACCTGCCAACCACATGTAAAACCAAACAAAACCAAACAAAAGCTTTCTTATTTACAACAATCAATCCTGATCTTATTTAGTGGTTTAAACTTGTTTTCAGAAAGCAAGCAGATGCACAAAAGTGACCCATAAGCAGTCATACATCACCACCGTTGTGTGTGAAGATGTTACCCACCCCTCTGGTAACACACACTTATCTTGACATGCCAGGACGTCAAACCGAGCCTAACCCTAAATAGATCTGTAAGCAGAATAGTTTGTATTGACTTTATCCAAACCCTTAATTAATCATTGCAAACTATTATGAAACCATCTTAGTGACCTGATTTCAACTGATTCATGAGTGGGACATCAACTAATACATAGCATGTGCTATTAAATTATGTAACAAATAAATATTTCTGTCAAGCATACGTGCAGCTATTGATGTAACAGATACTTGGGGCAGCAATCTCTTTTGTTTGCATAAAGTACATTTTCCTGTTTGAATTATCCACAGATCTAAGGCCTTGATGCCTGACATTCCCTGAGTTACTGTGCCTTTGAGTCTGTCCTTCCAAGGAAAAATCCAGTGAGTAGATCCTCATCCTGTTTCTATAATCCTGCTCCTAAAAACAACCACAGAAATCATGCAACATTTTCTTCTAGCAACACTGTTCCTTCATCCTCTTCATAAGTATAAAAAGAACATATTATATTTTCTTGATACAGGCCAGCACAGATGCTGTAAATCACTCACAATAAGACCATGAAAACTCCTTTGGTACTATGCTCAACTGAAATTGTCAGTAAAGAAAAATCAGTTACCTTAAGCTTTGATCAGCAGAATTTGATCAGCTAGTTACCAATATCTCCTTTTTTCTTTCTCAGTCTTCACACAATGGAACATCTCCTATGACAATTCTTTTACTGTTAAATATCTTTAGTTCACAGGGGTCTTTTCAGTAATTTTCAGCATTATTCTTACCCAGTTTGGTGGCTTAATAGGACTGTGTGGAATGTTTACTATAACAATATTAATTATTTAAATGGATATTAGCCACTCTTCCATTTGTTTTTCACTAGTTCTTCATCTTGTTTGTGTGTTTGTGTTGGTTTGGTTTTTCTGTGGCACTATTTTATATTGAAAACAACCATCCCTGACTCAAAGTAAAAAATGAAATTAACTTATTTAGTTAGTATTCTTCACCTTATGAAATACGTGATGTATTTGTATTGATGTATTGATTATACTTTCAAAGAGAGGAGGTGTGGGAATAATAACTGAATTGTCCTTCAAAGTCACTTGAATTCTTCTAGTCATAAACAGTGCCTTTTTCACCTTTCTTAGGATGTCATAAGCAAAAAATTATTGTGGACTCAAAATCTTGGATCACAGAACAAGTTAATGTGCACTATCCATACATATTTTCAAATCTTCACTGTAACTGAATACACTTTAACAGATTTCCTTCTTTCTCCAGAAAACCATGCTTCTTGAAAGACAGTGTCTGAAGAAACAACTCAATGCAATGAAAATTAGAGGATGGGTGACAATCAGTCAGCTGGTAATCTACGTGATATCTGTGTTCCTAACTCTAAATTCTGTGCAACATTTTTGAAATACATGTACTGATCTTCAAGTGTTTTTTGATAGCAAATAATATTACAGCATTTCACATGCTCTAACTATAAAATTACAATGTAGGTTGAGTCAATGGACAATTTCACTACAAAAATGCAGTTGTTGAAAAAGTTGGCCTTAACAGTAAACACATCATTTTAAAGCCATCAGAAAATAAAAGATTAAGGTGTGTTCTACACACTTATTACAAACATACATTAGTAAACTAATACAATATTTTCAAAAGAAAAGAGAAGTTAAACTGAGGCGGAATTTTTATAAACAAACTACAATTGCAATAAAGTTGGTTGTTACTAACAAATCCATGGTTTCACAAGACTGATACATTTTTAAATTGATTGAACCAAATGAAGCCACTTCCAAAACATGATTTAATTTCTCTGTCTCCCTTTTAAATGACCAAGTAAATACTTTAAAATCTTCAGGCTCATTATAAGATGCCTGCTCCGTAGACCAGACTCCATAAAAATGAGTATGATTGGAAGATCCATGTCTTTGCCCTAGTAAAAAAGGCACTAGCAACACTGATTAATATTTTCTGTTTTCAGGTATTTACAATGTATATGAGAAGATAAAACATCCAGCAACACAGCAGCTGAATTCAATAGCAATTCTTTTTGTGATCTTCTGCTGAGCTTTTTTAATGGAGCTAATGCCAGCATCCTCCCCCAACTTGCCACATATTTGCTTCATACCATGTGAATCCAACCTAACTAAAGTTAAATATGTATGTTGATGCTCTAAGTACAAAACAGAATATTTGAAAAATTTGTCAAAGGCAGGAAATACCCAGCATCCTAGAATTATGTGAAGCACATCCTCATGATCAGAATTATGAAACTAAATGTTCCTGATGCTTTAAAATAATGCCTTTCTTGATGCTATTGCAGAAACCTCTCAGGAACTTCTAATTTTATTGCTGCTTTTTCTCCTGTACAAGGAAGTATTCATTGTTCAGTAGGAGTGCTCAGACCAGACCAAACTTTCCACTATCCTACTGTAATGTAATCTCACAGATCTATTAGGTATCTGCTACAAAAGTCTGTGGTAAGAGCAAAGAGGGAATTTTGTGCCTTAATTATTGTCTGAACTTGCTGGCATTGACTCCATTACTTCCAACCAATCCAAACCAGCCTCATCTGGAAACATGCCACTCTGGTTTTACCTAAGAAGAATGGGGAGTAAGAAGAAGAAGAGGTCTAATGGTACATGAATTTTAACAGATTAGGTTCATGAGTCTCTTTACTGAAGGGTTCACAACCTACTCACCAGATGATGGAGGCGTCGATTTTCTGGAACTAGGAACGATGTCACCCAAACTGGATGAAGAGTTTCCTCCTGATTTACTGGAGTAAAGTAATATATTAGTTTGAAGTTCTGTAGCTTTCTCAATATTTAATCTAGTTTATTTATTATATGCCTTCTAAACGAAGTGCTAGCTGTGAGACAAACAGTATTTCTGGCAGAGGTATAAAATATACATCTCCCACAAAATGCATGTACATTTTGAGACCTGAGGAACTGCAAACATCAATCATACTTCCTGTGCTGCTGTGCAATTTATTCTGCTGCTCTCATTTCCTCAGTATCTTAATACAATTCAGTAATTATTATGGCTACTGGTATATATTAATTAATATTACTGCCCATTAATAAGAGTAATTCTTAAACCAGTGAGCATATCTGTTTACTTCAGCTGAGGAGTTATTGATAAATTGCTAATGAAGATGAGACTGTCTCTATCATCTTTTCAATTTAATTAATGTACAAACTCTTTTGCTTTCGCAATACAATATAGCACTGAAGAAAAAAAGTCTCTCAAATTTAAACTAGTCTAAGATTTTTGTCAAGTTCTGCTTTGTGAAAACCTATCCAAGTAGTGAAAAGGAAACAACAGTTCTTGCCTTTGTTATTTCAATTACCATAATGAGAAAAGCTCTGAAAAAATGTAAGAAAGGTTATTTCACTCTTCAAATAATTCCTGTGATAGTACTAGTTTCCACTTTCTCTGTCAGTAAAGAAAAATTGTCTTGAAATATTAATAAGTTAATGCATTTTTGGTGTAGGACAATGTTATCTTCAGTGAAAATTTCTGGAGAATGGAAGCCTCTACAATTTGGAAAAGAACCAAATCACTGGAACACATCTGGCTGTCCCAGACGTGTCACTAGAGGAATAAGGATCCAGCACCCTTCTGCTGAGGACAGCATGCTCATGGGAAAAGCATCTGACAGCTGGTGAATGCAGCTGAGCACTGGCCAATCACAGTGTCCTACTCTAGACACGTTCTACAAACATTGCTGCCCTTTCTATAGAGATAGGAAAGCATTTCTGGCTTCCTGAATGGTTCCTAGCTCAGTTCCAGGTCCATCCCACTCAAATACACTGGGAATATTTTTTCCTTTATACTCAAAGGGAAACAAGTGACATTTACTTCCACAGGTGTTAGTAGAAAACTACTTTATTAAGAATTCGAGAGTAAAGGCGACATTATTTTATCTTGTAGTATTGTTCAGAATATCTCAAAACAGTCCTTTTTCTTATGCAATGATGGCTGCAGTCAGAGATAACAAATGACTTGACATGAAACTTCCATCATAAAATGTATTGTTCTTAAAAGCTGTGGTTGTAGGCAATGAATTTGACAAGACTATTTTTTCCCTACGAGCTAACTAACAGGCACTGGCTCTGGCTTACAAGTAAACTCATCTTAACATTTTCTGAAATTTCTAAAATTATATTTAAATGTGTTTAGAAACAGAAGGATCATCAAAACAATTAAAAATGCTACAGAATTTGGATAAAGTAATTTTAAGTAAAAAAAAAATTAACTTAGTAAATGTAGTAGCAAATGTAAATGTATAGATAGTAAATGTACTTACTGAAATGTATATTAGCAATTATTTTACAAAAAAGGAAGGAAACCATTTCAGTGGTAGGCCACCACAGATTGCCAATTTAAATATCTCTTTTTTCCCAGATAGCAATGATATTAATAAACTTATTAATTAACAATATAGTATTTAAAATAATGTTATATATAATAAATAATAGAATTCATTATATATTAATTTCTTCATTGATCAAAAATGTTTGTAGCTGCCCCTAACAACATTTAGGCATATATATGACTGATACACAGCATCAATTTCCAAGTTGTGTCACAGACAATGTTGCTATTATTAATGATTTCTTGTTATTACCTGGAGTAGAATTTTCCTTGTTTCGCCTTTTGTTCATGCTGCAGCCTCATGTTTTCTAGTTTGACTGGGCTTGGTATGAATCCGATTTCACAGCCTTCTTTTACCAATCGTCCTATCCACCAGTCATTATTAAATTTCTACAGATTAAAGAAAAAAAAAAAAAGAAAAAAAAGAAAAAAAAGAGTAACATACTAAGAAATTACTGTATCTGGGATAACATTATTATTAGTTTTAATTTGCAGCGATGCTATTTTTTGTAATTCTTCCCTGCAGTTAATCACTGTGCTATGTTATTCTGGCAATGAAGAATTGAGGTAATTTTCAGAAATACATTAAAATAATTATTCCTTTCAAATTATTAAAATCCACAGTCCTTTGGTGGAAAACTTCCTGCATAGACTTCATGTTTCTCCCTGGTTTTTATTTCTACCCATTTCACCATCTTTATTTTTTCTTGCTTCACAGTCTCCTCTCATATATGAGAGCTGCTTTTGTTCTCCCTTCATGGTTCTCCTTGGTGGACACCAGAGACTTAGGATCCACTCTCACCTACTGCTAGAATTTTTATAGCTCTGTAATAATCTATTTTTCTTCTTCTATTTTATTCAGTTCTCTATTTAAATTTAAAAATACTACTTCACAAATTCTCCCACTTCTCACTAAAATCTTCTGAAATATGATTGAATTTGGCTGCTTATATATACCCTACTTCAGATAGCTCACGTGATCTGCATCTCAAACTCACCATGATATATCCACAAGGAGCAGATATCTCTGGATAACTAAAAAAACCTAACAATTACACAAGTCCACCAGATGGCCTAATTAACTGAATTTCAGCTCTGTTAAATATGAGATATTGACTATTTTAACTCAACACCTTTATTCACACACCCCCCCACACCATGTGTGGGAGAGGTTGGTTGATTTGCAGAGGTCTATGCAGCAGAACTATTTGCTTTTTCCATTCTTATCTATTCACCATTTTTGAAGAATAGGTCCCTCATATATGGGTCCCACACACAATACTTCTGGTGTTCCATGGGAATAACTATCATCAAAAAGGAATCGTGCGTAATTTGGAGTATTTATGAAACTTTAAGAGAACATCTGAATTGAAGAAAGTAGCTCTCTTGAATCTGAAGCTATTAATGTAGATGTTATAGTGCATATTTATTATAGAACAAGCAACTTTAACAAGTGTACAGTTAGGAATAAAACATGTAAAATATGTGGGCTCCCTTAAAAAGAAATTAATTTTACCATCATTGGTGTATCACTGATATACAACCTACATTGCAGTATTATCTTTCAGTTCGGCAGCTATAGAAATCTTGTAGTGCTTGAGACCAAGTATAAGATATTCCAGCTAACAAAAAATAGATATTAAAATAAAAGCACTTTTAAGATCATAAAACATAAGGATATCCATAATATTCATCCAATGGGATGCCTTTATGAGTAAGAATACCAGCATTCCAGGGAGCTATTCTGGAATAGCAGTTTCTCAAAGCTTTATTAGACTGAAATGTATTATTAAAATTATACCCTTTCATTACGAAAGGCTAACTAAATCATTAACTTGGTAAAAGGAAGAGATAGATAATTTAAAAACACCATTGAATTAAAATATGAACAGTCACTATTTTTGTCCCACAGTACAACAGATTACCACGCAACAATATTAATTTTATTAGACGCAATAGAAATCGTAAATCCATAGGAATTTCTTTCTATAGAAATAAAAGCATACTTCTGCAAGGTTTCAAAGATAAATGTTGTGTCAGTATATGAAAAGTATAAGATACTTTTTAAAGTCAATAATAACACACTATTAATAATAGTGTAAACACAGTATTAATAATAATACTTTCTAATTTTAATTTTTTTTTTTACATCTTGGTAGAGAGGTGTCCAGCTCTCAAGTTGCTGGCTCAGGTAAGTGATTCTCTGTAATTCACCTGTGTTTGGAGTGCCAAAGGAAATACAAAAATTAATTAAACACAGAACAAAAACATGACCATGCATTAAAGCCTCAAAAGATTCATAAGTTACTATGATGCAGCAGTTTCTTCATGCGGGAAGGAATCCATCATCCTTATGTGTACTGAGTTTTAATGAATGTAACCTAATAATGAAGATAAATTTCCCTCACACTCAATCACTGCAGTGCTTTTCATCACTGTCCATGTACATTTTGAACTGAGGTTTTTCTTGTTTGAGCCCTCTCAGCAGCACAAATTGGTGAACAGCCCTTTCAGACAAAAGTATGGCATCCTTATGCAGGCAGAAGCTACTGGAGATTAATTTAGCTTTCTTTATTTCTAGCAAGAGATTAGATATAAAATACATAAGCAACACTGCATTTTATAGTCTAATATGTTTTTTTCTTTAATCTGCATAAATAATTAAAGTTTGTATAATTCAGTTTCCCGAGAATTACCTGTAGGGAGCAACAAAAGTACTGAAAGAGAATACCTGGTGGGATACAGAGCCCTGGAGGACAAGCAGGGCCTGGCAGAGAAGATGGAGGGGGAGGACATGACTGTGCAGGGAAGGGCTGGGTCTGGAGTACCCTCTGAAGGCGCTTCAACCCACCCAGACATAACAGCTGCTGCCAAATGCAGGGCAAGAGTCTAAGTCCCAGTCTGACTCCTAGCGGACCCTTCCCTTCTCGCCATTCCAGCGGCGCAGCTGACCTGGTCCCAGGGTCCCTTCCCAGCCAACCTCTGGACCAGCAACAGTAGACAATAACCTCTCCTCAACAGCTTACAGAGAAAACCAGGTGTTTCTAAAGGCAATCAGCAGAGAATTCCCATTCTAACACACCTGGGATTGCAGGAACATTTTAATCTATTTTTCCACCACTCAGTGCTACATGCAGCCACAGACAATGTAAGAACTCAGCTGAGCTAAGCTTCCCTTCAAGGTATTTTGGAGATCTGGAAAAGTTCAGGAGACTTTTCCTTCCAGATTTTCTCCCACATATATATATATCTGAGACTAAGTTGTGCTGTGAAGAAAAATGTATTAACTTTTAACAGAAAACTGCTAACCCTGTGTGTCTGGTTTATATGGAAACAGGGGAAACACTTAATATAAAGTCTGAGATTACCACTTCATTTGAAGTGCAGATGGAATACATGAGTACACAAAATCATTTGATCAGACCAAACTGAGCCTTATTTTCCAGTGCTTCAAGACTCACTGGAGAAGGCTGATGGTTTTCTCTTGTCAGGGCTATGTGCCTGCTCGTCTCTTCTTCTGTCACAAGACAGAGTAGAGCAATTCTTTCACACTATCATCAGTCAGAAAGTAAATTTCCTTCACCATATACAGTCTGAATCAAAATTCTCTTTTTGTGTGTTTAACATATATGAAAAATTACAACCATTAGCCAAGTCTGTTTCTTGTGTTCCTTTAGTCTCTGTCCACCTGTGTTTCTATCTTTGTATTAGGGATGTTTCTTTCTTCCCCAAAGCACCTGTGCTAGTAGAATCATTGTGCATCATAAATCATAACTACTGAGGACTTTTCCATAGTCTAAAATGAGGTAAAGACATAATTTTAAATACATGGTTAGGTTGCTCTACCTTAAACTAACCTTCTATTTCTTTTCCTATAATTTTCCATATTCAGATGGGCTATTTTGAGACAAACCACAATGGAATATGACCAAAAGCTTAGAAACCTTTTAAACCTTTGAAAATGAAGGAGACATTCAAAAGAGAGCAGCAGGCTACAGAAAAAGGCCTGCATGGGAAAGTCACCAAGTTATTTTTTGGGAGTGTCTTGCAAGGAGCAGCAAAAGAAAATTACTTTAGGTCTTTAAAAACTACAGGAAAAGAAAACCAATGCAGCAAGTGCAAAGCTCATTTATTGACAGTTGCAATTATCTTGAAACATCTTTCCAGTTCTTCAGCATGCAACTGCAAACTAAATTTTGTCTGTGCCAGGGAAATAGCTTTAGTTAAAAAACAGGAGACCTGAGGATTATGGGGTTAAATGAGATGCAGTCATACAGATCAAAAAGAAGCAACCCTTGGCTGCTGCATCACAACAAACCCTCACAGTACCAGATTACGAAAAAAAAAAAACCCAGAGCTATTTCATCTTTGAATAGTCAGACATAGGCATTTAAACCTATAAATAAGCTATTTTTACTAGAGAAGGAAAGTACTTGCTTTCTGAACTTCACTAATTTAAATCGTAAGAAATTTGTGCCATTGCTTCTACAAGAACAGCATTTAAAAGAACATTCAATTCCTTATACACTGTTAGCTTCTTTAACATTTGTAAAGTGCTTTGGCAATGTGAAGTGTTATCAACATTGAAAAATAGTAGTACTATTACTCAAGTATTCCCCTAAAGAGTGATTCACTTACTCCTCTGGTTTTACTTACTTCTTTAACATGAAGAAAATCTTTAGCCTCAAATGAGATGGCCATGCCTGGGACTGGGACATCATCTTCATGAGCTGCACTGTACCCAACATTTGTCCGAACTGCAAATGCAACAGGTTTTGACTGCAAAATAAAAATGAACATCATGAAGATTTCCCTTGCAAACACATACATATGTACAAACATGTGCAGAGGAGATGATATATCTATGTTATGCTGTTAAAATCGTAAAAATTACAAAGAAATCTCAACACATTCGTGCAAAACATAATGATGACTAGTTTTTACTGACAGTAATTATTAATATCAGCAAATTTCATAGAATACAGATTTTAAGTAGGTGATAGAGCTCTGAATTAATCTGAGGTAATTCAAGTCAATAATAAGCAATCACAACCAATTTGTCAGCTTGCAGTTCTGCTGCGAGTTCAGTGTTTGTGGCTGCCATAAGAGGTGGATTTTCAAGAGCTACAAAACCTAAGCTCCACAGACAATGGGGTTGCAAAAGGAATTGCAAGGGGAGCATGGCCCTGCACCAACATTGCTCCTTCCACTCCATTCTTGTCTGTGCATCCACATGCTGGTCACCTCAGGATCATTCTAAGGCTGCTCCAAGTGTCACCCTCACAGCCTCAGCCCCCAAGAACTATGTGGGGAAATTGCAAATTTGGAGAAGAGGTGCCATCAGTTGCCAGTAACCCCTAAGCAAGTCACCTCACTGCACTCTGAGAGCGGAGCAATGTGCCTTGAGATCACCATGTCACTACCCAAAACCAGCCACAGAGAGATCTGTTCATTTCCCTAATTCTTTCTTACACTGCTAGCTGACATCAGTGAATTAGAGGATTTTCCGGAGTTTTGTTTCAAGAAGCAGTTGCCAGAAGAGTCACACAGAAGCCTCACATCTGCACAGCATCTCCTTACCAGCACCACCAGTGCTGAGCACCTCTCTGCACAGGTATGGAAATAGAAGGTGCCATCCAGCTCAGCCCAGCTACAGCTACCAAGGGCCTCCTCTTCTCAAAGGTACAACCATTTTACAGGAGAACAACATTTTTTTCTGCTTTATTCTAGGCTAAACAACAGTTTGAGCTTGCTCTCCCCACAGAGATTATGACACAGTATCCCTAGGACCCACCACTGAAGGACCCACCCCCCAGGCTGAACCTTTAGCCCATTTTGTCATAACCAGGAAAACTGTTAGAAGGGCATCCTGATATGATTATGTGTTCATGATTACATTTCTGAAACTGGGCATTTGTGAGAACAATAATCCAAAACTAAAGTTTGGGGATTTCTGCACATCAATTAAAATATCTTGCAGTGTTGATACAATGAGAATATCCCCTTCTTAACAGCCCAAACTCATATCATAATTATCTCCTCTATAATTTTCTCAATGTTAGTTCCACTATTACCCTACATAAAAGATACCAAACTATTACAGAACTAGTCATGCCACAGAAAAAAGGAGTCACACAGGCACTGGATTCAGTGAAATCATTAATCTTCCTTAAAAATAAAAGACCTCATAAATTACTGGATTTAAATATTCATACAAACCCTCAAAACTTTCCTGAATGTGAAAATTACTGACTAACAGAGTTGATGCTTTCTATACCATTATTAATTTCAACACTCAAAATACAGATATGAATAAGCATTGAATTGTCAAATCGCCTAAGCAATATTTACCATCAAATAGTAGATAATCAAACAAATAATTCCCTATTATTAAGAATGACCATTCTGTATGGCAGTGACCTGTCACTATGGAAATATATTTCAGAACAGGAATGGATTTATTAAGGAACAATCTTTGTCAAATGCTGATAGGAGGGATAGTATGCTTGCTTATCCATTCTCACATTGCTATATTCTCTAGCAAATAAAAAAAAATTGTTTAACCACTGTTTCTTACTCCTAAAAGTAACAGCGGATGAAAGGCTTTAGGTTGATTAAAGACATTAAAATCTTGGCAGCATTGCAACAGACAGACATCTCCAGGAAGTTAATGTCCTTGACATACTTTTTAGAAATTATGTAAAATTTCCTGTTAGAAGGCAACACCTGACTACCCAAGAAAAAGAAGACAGTGGAAACTACTCCACAACTATCTCAACATGAAAGAAAGGTAGCAGGTGAAAGTTCTCTGTCATTCTCTGCCATCAAAAAAATGTAAAACTCTGAGCAGAAAAAAACAAAGCAGAACACTGAGTTATAGATATGGACAGAAATGGTATGTCCCATTTTAGATACTTGCCACACTGGTAGAAAGGGAGATTAAATTATCATGGGATTAGACTGCAATAAATCATCTAATTGAATATTTAAAACTAATTAATTTATAGAAGTTAAATGGTAGTCTTTTTACATAAATAAATATTTCTGAAGGTTTCATAGCACTATCAAATTAAGTACTTTTCCTGAACTACATTGTCTTGAACTAAAAAAGCCCCGTTGTTATGCAATTAGGATCTTATATAAAAAGAAAAAAACCTGACACATGCATATGTATATTTGAAAATGTATCTAGCATTTGCTTACATATCCTGCAGTTCTAAAATAAGACTGGGTCAAAAGAGTTAACCACTTTCTGTTCATTCTCTAAATTTCCATGAAAATGGGATGGCAGTTTAGCACTCAGCTAATCCACAGGCTGGACTACAGGGACAGATGCTCCCAGATGTTAAACATTTTAACACGTCATGTCTCTCCAGAGAAACAAAGTAGCCTGGAAAATTTCATTTATCTTCAAAATGAACACTTCCATCTTGTTTTTCTTTTCTTTTCTGGTAGAAGTACAACATATAACCAGCTAAATAAACCAGAAAGGAGAACAATCAGACCATGAACATTACCATCATCTATACCATTAGGGCATAAGGGAACACACTCTGGAGTGAGGTTCTTCAAGAACTTATTTCAGATTCTGATATAAACTCAGAATATAAATCAACAAAATCATATTCAATAACTGTTTAACCAATTTTGACTGTACACTTTTGTTAACAAACATAAATTAAAGTGTGTCTAGAGCAACTTTACACAACTTTCTCTTTTTCTATCTGGATCTCACCTCTTCCTTTACAAATTATATTTATTTTGCACATCTTCATAACAACCCTCATTACTAAGTTCATACTATTTATAGTATTATTATATTTTACTACTTATAGTTCCTTGTGCTATGATTAACTTGTATTGAATGTAAACACAAGAATTTGCATATTGTGTCTCAGTCAATTTGTCAGTTTGTACCTGCTTGGTTAAATTTGTATTCAAGAAATATTTCATTCAATAACAGAGCAAAAGAATACAATCTGTTCTCTAGTAATGTACTTAAAACATGACAGGACCTTTTTTTTTTCTCTAATTTCAGATTTTTTTATGCTGTTCAATAAACCCAGTGAAGGCAGCCCCTGGGGATCCCAGCCAAGAAGGCAAATTTTCTGTTGTAGAATTTGCTCACAGAACAGGTCATCTCCCTCATGGCCACTAATTTTGGAATTGTTGCTTGATAATCAAAGTATCTCTATTCCTCATCCACTACCACGATGTAGAAAACCTGATGAAAGCATTCTCCAAACTATTTTTGCCTACACTTGGGCTTGACCTAGGATCTCCGATCCATCTTATTTCTTACTCTGTTACATCATTCTCATAGTAAAGGCACCTCTGTATTTACACCAGTTCAAATGAATTCAGAATGCACCTTTATGAAGGCAATGCCAGATGAGACAAGAAATGACTCAGAAAAATATTACAGTTACCATTTAGACAAAATTATTGTCAAAGCTGGTGTCTGTGTTAGAGTTCAGAAAATGTGTCTCAAAGCAAGTTCACTCCCTCCCTACTTCTAAAGCTACTCATCTTTCATCCTATCCACTTTTCACACATGCATGCAACCTTATCCTGAAAGCAAGGAATTATTCTTCTCTTGGGTAATGAATATAATGGGTGTCTCTCAAATCACTAATAAGTTTGCACTCATGAAAATTTAAAAAGTCACACCATTTCTTTCATCTGAGGAGAGGTAATTACTGCTACTGAACTTTTCATTAGTAGTCTTAGTGGGGAGACAAAGCGACAGATGATGACCTATGTTCAACACTTTTTTCACAGACTAGCCCTGTACACAGCATTTGTGCCATCAACAATATTAATACTCCACAAAGGACAAAGATCAATAGCACTGTAATGGCCTAATGACTGCTGTGTTGAAAACATCTACTTTATTTTGCCCTGCTAATGACATAGAGTCAAATATATAAAGCAGAAGCAGTTGAACACCTCTATGTTTTACGTTCTTTTATTTTTATATATTTATATTTATATATTATTTTTATTACTATTATAGAGAAAGTTATGATGTTATGAAACCTATACTGTCACAAAAGCAGCTTGAGAATGCAAATGTAAAAATAATAAAACAACTTTTCTATTTTACCTTTCTTACTTTGTACACTAATTTATGCACCCATTACACAAGAAAGGAAACTCAAACCCCTTGAGAACACAAAAAAAATACAGGAAATTTTTTGTCCTAAATGCTGATTCTTGCTGGAGCCTCATGATAGATAAGAAATTGTCCAATCTCTAACAATAGCATCTGCTCAGCAATCATTGCTAAGGAAGGAAAGATAACTCATGAATGTCCTAACAAAAAATTAGGAGCATATATAGCTGCTGTCACTAAAAGCAATGATCAAAAATATTATTTCCCAGCAAAGATTGGGCCTTCTTTTACAGCCATAGGTGTGTGTACCAAACAAGGCTGATAAGAAGCCAGAAGCACAGAATAATTGAGGTAGAAATGACCCTCTGGTGTCTTTCAGTCCAACACCTGCCCAAAACAGGTCTATTTAATCAGGCTGCTCAGAGATGTGTCCTAGTGAGTCTTAAATACCTCCAAGGACAGAATAACATAACCTCTCTGTGCATCTTCCTCAAGTATTTGACCACCGTGGTTGTGAAAAAAACATACAGAACTATGGTTCTCTCACATATCATTGAGTAAGGAACATAGAAATCCATAATGGAAAACAAATACTTTCTTTTATAGTCCAGTACAAGCAAGATGAAGTGTTATTACAAGTAGAATTTATCAATTACCAGTTTTA